TACCGGACAGAACTAACAATTAATTATTAATTATTGTAATGGAGACAAATCTTTATGTTGCACAGTTGAATTTAAATGTCAAATTCCCCTTCCTGTTTTTATACTTAAATACTAGTTTTTTTTTAGTTACTGTTTTTTATAGCTTAATACTTTAACCGATTGTAAGGGTAAGAATCAAAAATGAAGTCCAATGTTTTTGTTGTGTAGGCTACAGTTTAATCAATAAAACAAACAGTACATCTGTTGACTTTTTTTACATTTAGTTACTTATAAAAATATCAAATTCATCGATTTTCTTACATTGTGTACTTGAACATACTCGAGGACATGACGTGCAAAAATTTAATAGAACTGAGTTATGTATTAATTTATAAATATGTTTATAGTAAATTGAGGGATATTCTTTTCATATTTATTCTTTCCTGTTTTTTTGGGAATAAAAATCATTTCATATCACATTAACAAAATCTTAAACAGAAAGTGAATGTGTATACCAGCTGTATTTTCATATCTTTGGAAACAACAAACAAAAATCATAACATTCTAAAGATAAATCCACAAATTTTGCCATGGGACTCACAATATCCTACCTGCGACTCTCAATATCCCTGCTAACTTGGCTTTTCGCAAAGGAGCTTGTGAAGATCCTGATGGTCGGTCTGGACGCGGCTGGGAAAACCACGATCTTGTACAGACTGAGACTGCCTGTGCGATATCGTTGCTTCGACCCTTGCTTTGGGTACAGTTGTTTCAACCTGGAGACTGTGCACTATACAAGAATATCAGCTTCACAGTGTGGGACGTCGGAGGACAAGAAATGATCAGGTTGTTGGAGACGCTGCTTAGAGTACACCCTGGGACTCATCTTCGTGGTGGACTCCAGCGACCGTGACAGAGTGCCGGAGTGCGAGAAAGAGTTGACCAGGTTACTCCAGGAGGAGGCTCTTAGAGACATCGTGTTGCTGATCCTGGCCAACAAACAGGACCTTCCCGACACGCTGAGTGCTGCTGAGTTGAGCCAGCTGTTGGGTTTGGACAAGGTGAAGAACAGATGAAAGATACAAGAGACTTGCGCCAAGCAGGGTCGAGGCACCGGGCAGAACTAACGATTAAATTGGCTTTATATGTGTTCCATGATGGGTAGCCTCTGGACCATACAGCAACAATAATAACAATAATAATAATAATAATGTTATCCTTGAATAACATTATTTATATGTTCTATTAGGATGGGAAACCTTATAAGGGAGTGTGTTTATCTATGGTACCGGTACCTACAAGTTCATGACGCTCAATTTGGAAAGAAATTAGTATTCTAACCCTATATGTAGCCTACCAGCAAAAACAGAGAAAAGAGAATGAATGAAAAGAGAAAAAGAGAATGATCGCTCATGCATGGAACACTGTTTTTAAGTTTCTGCAGTCAATGATTTCTTCTAGGCAGCTGCATGACTGTGTGCTAACTTTTCATGCAAACTAAACAAGAAGAAGAAGATTGATGAAATAGGATAGCGCTGGGTTCACAACGATATGGTAGGCATTCGGTTAAATATCGAGCTTGTTTTCTACCGGATGACAGACATCGACTATTAGTATCGGCTCTGGCTCTGGCTCACCGGCTGTCTCATGGTGGAAGTAAACTATTGCCTTGGTGCGCTTTGTGCCTTCTGCTGCGCTGCAGCTGCTCCTAACTCCTATGTCTGTCGTCGAACGTCATAATGTGGCCTTGACGACGGAGGGCCATAATTTAATTCACGTACAATATTACAGTGAGAGTGAATGCAAATAAATAAGTACAACATAATATTATCTGAACCTGGCATAAAATTTTCCAATGAAAATGTTTATTATCCAATTACAGTAAGGCTGATAACCAGCATATGTATAAGAACTTAAATTACGGAGGAATCTATCTGTATATATAACTAGCTGTGTACCCGTTCTACGCACGGGGATCTTATAATATTCAGTTGAAACCTTCTTATATAAAGAACAGCAGTTGGTTTGCATATTTTAAGATATGCTGGCCAAACTATTATACATAGCTTCATTTTATGTTGTTTTTTGTTGTTCCGGATCGGTATGACAATCAATAAAAGGTTAAATTACCTCTGTGTCTGCCGGTCGATCCTATAACGGTAGGCTTACTTTTATTTTTACTATCTGATCTCGTTTGCATGGCTCAATCACGTCCTGGTTGAAGTTCGTTCGCTACGCTCACTCACCTGTATGTTGGAGCTCGTTCGCTGCGCTCACTTTCCTTCAGGTTAGCTCGTTCGCTACGCTCACTTGCCTTCAGGTTAGCTCGTTCGCTACGCTCACTCGCCTCCAGGTTGCAAATTAGCTGTTGTCATAAATGTAAAAGAAATAATAGTGCTAGTGCTGCACCCTGTTGGTAATCCTTGTAACTTTAATGCTATTGAACATCACAGAACAGAACCAACTTGTTTAATTGAAACAGCTGTTAAGATTCAATAATTTCATTTCTCATAAGGTTAACATGGGCTTCCAGAAATTCCACGTCAAAAATCGACAAAAACTTGATTTTCAAGGGTTTACTGTTAAATATCTAACTGTCTCATATTCGATGAAATACGTCTAAAACCATCTCATATATGTATAGTATTTGGAAAATAAGTTTCAGGCGGGACAGTGCTATAGTTATTGAGGAGTAGTTGTAATAAAGTGCGTATTTTAGCGTTACCAAGAGAATGACAGATAGACAGACAGACAGACAGACAGACAGACAGACAGAAATTGAGATAAGGTTTGATTCGGTTTCTCTGACCTATGAAATGTAAAAATAACCAAAAAGTTCATTATTCTAAGCAATGTACAGACAAAACTCTAATTTTATTTATATAGATAGATACGTGAAGCCGTATTTTGTTAACGCAACTCCTCCCTTATTTGTGGACCAATTTCAACGTTTAAGGTGTCAAAAGATTCGTCTCAATATGAAGTTTTGCAATAAGGTTTTAGAATTTTAAAATTCCTACTCTGAAGGGCGTGAGACCCTCTCAAAGGTCGGGTTTTCCCCATAAGAAATACATAGGAGAAATTTAAAAACCAAAAACAGCTGTTTATAAAAAGAAACTCATTAGCTTTTTGGGAGTAAATATTAATGTTTGTAATATTCAGTAGGTTAAGACCAAGTTAAACCGGTAATCAGTTTTGTAGGAAGAACAGAAAATGCCTCAAGTTCAAAGAAGAAATATTGAAAACGTGAGTAGGAGACAATTAATAATAAGATATCTTATGCGTATGAGGAGAGTAGAAATAGAGAGGCCTGGTCTAATAGACACCCATCCAGATACACATTCACTTGGTGATATGTATACCTAATATTTGCCAGTTCTGCTATACATTGATGGTTCTGCTCAGCAACTCACTTTGGAAGTGAAAAAATGTACGAAGCACATAGTGTTGTCACGGTGGTAAAATAAACTTGCCTAATGTCAGATCAAATGAATGCATGCAAGAAATGTTTACTTCTGACAATGACAAAGCAAGATATTTCAAAACATTTAGTATAAACTATATTTAATGCCTTGACTATAGTTCAAGTAGTAAGATTATACCAAATCTTGGCGGACCTTATATTTTTATTGTAAACTTTTGTATTACTCGCTCTACTTCAATTGAGAAAAAACACAAATGGATTGTTAACTTCTAGGTTATGTTTCCAGTTCCTCGGGAAAACTTATACAAGGTCTACTAACTGAATTTACCAACACAACCCAGACATTTCAAGTCAAAAATAAGAAGTTTGCTACAACAACTCATTTGCTATTGAAAGTTTTAGAGGCAATATTAGACCAAACATAAGTGAAGGAATTAGTGTTTATGTATTCAACGATCAAGTTGTTACGGTCAAGTTTATTTTTATGATTTAGGAAAGGCAAATAATATATTACGCTGTTCAAAAAGAGAATTGCTATCCAAATCATATAGCTACAAGAGTTATCCAACCTATTTCGACAAATGAATCCATACTTTCAAAACGTTGGGAGTCCCAACGTTTTGAAAGTATGGATTCCCAACCAAGTATGGTGTCCCAACTTGGGACAGGTATTTAGAGAAACTCCACTGAAAAACGTGAGACTGACAAACAACACGTTGAAATATGTTAACCAACTTTCAATGGTGTTGCTGCTTTAGCTAATTCAAAGCCGATTATGACAGTTAAGTTGGCAAAAAATGGACCACATGAAATAGTTGATATCACCTAACTTTTCAGGGTTCTCCACGAAGAAAATTTGTTTGATTAGGGGGATGTCTCAAAAGAAATAAAATGACCCAAATTAAATTACTAAACACTGGTTATCAGTAGGCCTAAGGCAACAGTTTTCTTTAATTCTCAATGCTGGAAAAACTTTTTTGCAACATGTTAACTCGAATTGAAGCAGATTGTTTAGCATTCATTAGAAGTTATCAATTAAAACTGAGAGCAGAAATAATGTAGGTGAACCTTGACGACGCAAACAGAGATATTTAAAATTAGTTTCTAACAAGTGTTTAAACAACTCTAAGCTGTAGCTACAATTACTCGAATTTAAGCATAAAGTTTTCCTCGGCGTTATGTTTCATACTATGCGGCTCATTGAGCCGCACGGGTTCTCTAGTTTTAAAATTAATATTCCAGTAACTTACGCAATTAACGCCAGATAAATTACCACCCCCTTACTTTTAAAAGCGTTTAGATGTCCTTTGCATATTTCCTCCATAATAATGCACCATGCACCATAAAACTGATCAAAAGGAACAAAGTTGGAATAAATTAAATAACATAATTAAATAAACTATTTAGCGCTATGGAATTTTGGTTGGGTGGCGCTTTGGAAGCCAATCGATTTACGATATTCGATAGTAGTTCTTTTCAGACTAAGTCGATCGATACTTAACCGTATGCCTACCATATCGTTGTGAACCCAGCGCTATCCGATGAAATATTGTTGTTAGTTGTTGTTGTAGTTAGTAGTTGTAGGTTATGTCATGTCGTCGTCGTCGTGTTGTCGTCGTCAATCGTCAATCGTCAATTCGTCATATAAAAACTAAAAACTTAGCTTAGGTTATGTTCTTGTATTCAAATTTAAACAAACCCTATCTCATCTATTAAGTTAAGTGACCGGTAATGAATTCGTTTTGCGTGTAATACATAGTTTTATAATCGAAAAATGAAATGATGACTTGAAACTTTTAAAATTAGTATTGTAGGCACCCATATCAATAGGCCTACTTCAATCACAATGTCTTTGTTAAATCCACCGAAATTGTTGTTGGGTAGATGCATATTGCCATCTACTCACCTAAAGGATGTTTTCAAGTGGTGCAGTATTCCAATTAAACTGTCTGAGGTAAATATTTTGATATAATTAAGATACCCTAGATCCTTTAACAGATGTAAAAAAAGAGGTGGCGGGGATACACTTCCATACCTGTTGGCACAAACAACCGAATGAAAATATCGCTCGATATATCGATTATTTGATACATAGTTTGGTTAGTTAGGTAAGGTTAACCTAACCTAGGACCTAAGTTTAACTAACACAACGATATGGACCTATAGACGATAGGCCTACTTAACTTACCTGTATTGAATTAAACAATTGAATATGCGGCTGCACTTTACTTGACGTCCTACACTCATTCGATTGGTTTTTTCGATTCGATATTTTCATTTGATTCTTTCATTCGATTTATCGTTTGGTTAGTTAGGTTAGGTTAACCTTACCTAACTAACCAAACGATATATCGAATGAAGTAATCGATATATCGATCGATATTTTCATTCGAATGAGTGTAGGACGTCAAGTAAAGTGCAGCCGAATATGCTAATAAATATTACTCATTCGGTTGTTTGTGCCAACAGACATGGAAGTGTACCCGGCGGCTGCACTTTACTTTACGTCCTACTCTCATTTGAATGAAAATATTGATCGATACTTGTATCAATTATTACTAGCAATGGTAAATGAGGGAGAAATTTGATCTTTCTTGAATTCTCTTATGTAAAGCATAACTTGAATCACCCATTGATTGAAGAAAGATCGTCAAGGGCAGGCAAATAAAAATAGGACTACAATAGACTGTTAAATAACTTGATTTCAATAGGCTTACATATCTTTGTAAAAATGGTATCATCGTTAAACAAATAAATTAACAATCGCAACTGAGCTAAGCTATTTAAAACAAAACGTTCAATCATTTGTAATAAAGTACCGGTAAGTTATCAAAACTGCTATTAAACATGGCTTAGCCTAGCCTAATTAGATTATTTGTCATACAGCTAAGTTAAGTTTAGGTTTGTTCAAGCTTATTTATCAGCACGTAGGCTACTTATTTACTGTAGCCTATAAATTACTATCCATACTGTTTAAGTGGCACGAACTAGAAAATAATTTGCAATCCTAAAATCATTTAGACCCAACGACCCAGACAATAATGGTCTGACCAAAATGAGTTAGTTAGCCTACACTTATGATTTCCTCAAAGGTTATTAGACTACTTGTTTAGTGTCATTTTATAAGTTATATGTAAATTTACTGTACCAGTACTGTTTTATGGTTTCAGAAACTATGCACTACTGCAAGAGCCGAAGAGCAAGATGTAATTGACAATATATTTCCTGATGTTAAAGGAACAGCACAACCAATCCCAAAAAATTATTTCAAAAAGTCAAAAAATTTGAGGTCTGGCAAATTTGAAAACGACCCTAAAAATAATAGTCCAGGTGAACTTGCAAACAACTCTAATAAGGTAATTAGGTACCGTACTGTAATTTTAGCCAAAATAATTAGTAATACTCCTGAGGTAGGCCTATGTCAACATGTGCTATGTCTTCAAATGTTTGTTTGTTTGTGCCCTAATACTTTTTAAGGGTAAATAGTTGTAGACAGCAAGGATATTTGGCTGCATCACAGAGAAGTAAGTTAGTAGGTACAAATAAATCATTCAATGGTATAATTAAGTGGTTTCTAGCACTAGTCGCTGATGTCTAAGACAAAGTCCAACACTGCTTCTCTTGCCCTCATGTAGCCCACTACAAGGTTCATGGTGGAAGAATACCCTGTGCCACGATGTAATAGGAATTCCCGCATAGTGCTCACCGCTCGGGCTCTTCCTTACTCATTCCAAGTATATTTCCAGCACATTATACTTAAAGCTAAAAAAGCACTCCATAGGAAATGTACCTTACATCTCTGTGACTGCATCAATAGCCTCTCCAAATTGCACAAAAGGGGTGTAAGTTTCTTACTTTAAGTTAGTCAGTTATTGGCCAAGGCCTGAGGTCTTCAGTAAAATAGTAGACTGCTGTTGACCAAAGTGGTCCACTCAGAACCCTGTATCCTGTGGAAGTGTAGACAGACAGGTACGCCAAGGAATTTTCTTCAAGGATCAGACAGTAGACTAAACTTTTTCTAAAAGAGTTTAGCTTTATTTAAGGGGAATCTTAAAGTTCTACTAAATTTGTGCTGGAGCCTATTGGACTAAGCAACAGCTAATGTAGGAGGGTAAGATTTTGAAATATATTATTTTTATATTTTTCAGCATGCAATCATAGAATGTAAACACAAGCGTTTAAATCACTACATTAATCAGAAGTATGACAAGCTTGCTGCCATACCTCTGGCATCCAAGGGATGGTTTAACAAAGAAGCGAGAGGAGACTATTTTAAAATAAATATTCTACCTGAGGTGAGTCTAGATTCTATAGATATTTTACCCCTTTTAGGTATCATCCTTTATGGATCATAATCATTTCAACCTGCTGCCCGTATGTTTAGGTCTGGTAAAACTTGGTTCATTGATGTCTCATCGACATCAGGTTCATTGACACTATTGTAATTCTTAACGAATGAACAATAAAGAATATTGTATTGTATTGTCTTTGTGTAATAAAAAAAAATTTAAACTTAAACTTAAGTTGAAAAACTAAGTTGAACTTGCAACAACTATTGTTCAACCTCTTATATTATAATCAAAGACTATAGTCCTTAATGTAAAATTACCCTAAAATATAAGGAAACATTTAAGCCTAGTTGACATAAATGTGATCAAGCGTTTATCAGACTTGAAACTTATGCCAAAAGATGCTTAAAACTTTTCCATAAGACACAAGCAGAGTACCCGTCCTTCGTCATGGTTGATAATAGTAGTTAGGCTTAATTTAAAATTAAGATTTCAAAATGTATGAAAAAGCAATGGTGTGAACATTACTTCTCTAGAACTGGCAAAAATTTACAAAAATATCTTTGTTTTGAAGGAAAGAGACATTACCGTACTTCATAGCTTAGTATGACTGTTAAAATAAAAGAACAAAATATTAACCACAGGAAATCAAAATGTCCCAGAAAAACATTTTTTTATTTATTAACAGTAGCTTACTTTGTGAACGTCATAAAATCCAGCAAAACATCAATAACTCGACTCCCAAGACTCGACAGTCAAGAGCTAACACAGCGCTCACTCATATTTGGGTGTAGAATAGAGTGTGATGATCTGTTTAGCTTTGTTTACTGACTAATATCAGCTTTCATTAGCCAGGATCATTTATTTAAAGCCCAATGATCAGGGACCGCTGGATCCAGTTTCAAACCATCAAAAAGCTACTGACTTTTCTCAGGATCGATCCGGCGACCTTTTGATTTTTATAACCACTCAGCTACCCAGCCAGTTAATTCAATATCTTGTCGTGCCCAGACCCGGGAATAGAACAAAGACGATATTTAAGTCTCTAATACGAGGCATATTTTTTAAGTAAGTACCGTTTTTAAACTTCTCCGTTCCAGCGCTGCGATTGGCATTTTGGACATTTGCGCTGTATATGTGCATCTATTGGCAAGCTCTAGCCGGAAATTCGACAACAATCGGCCGTGTTTACCTCCGGTATCGAGCATTCAAAATGGTGCCGCCAATTGAGACTGCCGCCGACTGTGACTTGCGCGCTGTAATTAGATTATTATGTTCTAAAGGTGTGAAAGCCATTGAAATTTGTCAACAGCTTATTGAGGTGTATGGCGAGAACATTTATGCATGACGGAATGGTACAAAAGTGGGTAAGGGCATCTAAAGACGGCCCCACCAACGTTCATGATGAGCAACGCACTGGGTACTGGGGACAGTGACGCTGCCCAGTGCGTTGCTCATGATGGACGTTGGTGGGGCCGTCTTTAGATGCCCTTATGTGTTCGCTGGCCCTTACCCACTTGCGTACCATTCCGTCACTCATAATGTTCTCGCCATACACCTCACTAATCTGTCGATAAATTTCAATGGCTTTCACACCTTTAGCACTTAAAACTATAATTACAGCGCGCACTTCACAGTTGGCGGCACCATTTTGAATGCTCGATACCGGATGTAAACACGGCCGATTTTTGTCGAATTTCCGGCTAGGGCTTGCCAATAGATGCACATATACAGCGAAAGTGTCCAAAATGCCAATCGCAGCACTGCAACGGAGAAATTTAAAAACGGTACTTACTTAAAAAACATGCCTCGTATATTTAGGCGATATTTAGTTATTGCTAATGAATTTTACACTTTGTCTAGGTGGCATCCCCATCTCAAGGATAGCCTAAGGATAGACCTGTTCTCTGTATTCTCCTATCATTCCACGTCCCTCATAATCATTGCCTTCATTATCCTAGGATTCTCTCTTCTTACATTCTCAACATGCCCAAACCATCTTAGTTTAGCGTTAAATAATCTCTCTCTTAAACTATACTCAATTACCGGTATCCCCCTTCTGTTCTCTTTATTTATGTTTATATGCTGCAGGCCTACTACTTATTTGTTTTATTTATTATTTTTATCTGTACAACCCTAATAAATTTGTTTCCCCTGTTTTAACACCTTTATACATTTCCAGGACAAAAGAAATGACGTTTTCTGGTTCGATGGAATCGATTCTTTTGGCTGTTTGGGGTTGGATAAGAACATTGTTGAAACTTTAGAGAAACTTGGGTTTAGTAAACCCACTTATATTCAAGTAAGGATAAAAAAATACACAAAAATTATCTAGTATTATTATTTTAATCTGCTAGTAAGTTTCTTCTAGGCTTTAAAGAACCATTTTTTTTTCTGTAGCCGTACTACATCACAAATCTTGGAAAAATCTCTTAGCCTAGTTAGGTTGTGAAATTTTCGTCATGGCTTTGTTGGTCTACTTTTTAGCAGATGTAAAAATCTTAGGTTTCAAGTTTCAAAGTTTTATCGGTCCTTTTATTTACACTTTGTTTACATTACACAATAAGTTTTCCAACCTAAAAGCTAGTCTGTTTTTACAACCTTCACGCAAAGATGAGTCAATTTTCTTTTAGTCGTAGGTTAAGAAAATTGGAGTACAAAAGCCTAGGTGTTATGGATTGTTGTCAGAAAAACTTGCGAAGCATCCTAAAAGCAGTGAACTTACCACACAAAAATTATGTAGGGCCTAATATATCACTGACACTGGTACCTAAATGAAAGAGGATGAGCCATATTTAGATGGATGAGTATAGAAGAGGTTTATCAGAAAACCCGAGACTAGAGTTTCAAAATCAATATTAATGTTAATTGTAAATTATGATTGATATTTTAAAGAACTTTAAATACAATGTCTATGTGGATTAATATTTTATTTGGTTAACTTTTGTGGTTTTAGGCGTTTGGTATCCCGGAGGTGTTGAACAACCAGAACACGCTGTTAGCCGGAGAGACGGGATGTGGAAAGACATTAGCCTACTTGATACCCCTTGTGCAGGAGATCATGCGATGGAGGACCTTCACACCTAACCGTAAACTCAATTGTCCCTTGGCCATCGTGCTGGTTCCTGGCAAGGAACTTACCTTTCAGATAGCGGTGAGTGACTCAATTTAATTAAATGGTTATTATTTAAACATTCACCTTTACAAATCTGTCTCTTGATAATTCAACACTTAATATTCAGGACACGCTGTAATCTCACACTGGGATTAGGATTAGTGTGAGCATATCTGGCCTCACGGACAAAAACTTTACACTAGGCCTATGTACAAAATGATTAGGTTGGAATGTTTCACTTGTACTAGTTTGGACTCTTTCCCATTCAGACAAGCCTTATATGCTCTCACAAATCCTAATTGCAGTGTCACATTTAAATCCTAAATACCTAGGTCCTTGTGCTCCCCTATATCATCAACTATGATTAGCAAGTCATAGGGCAATAACTGTAGGCCTACAATAACAGAATTTGATTCTTGTCTTAACAGCAGTCTGACGTCCTTCTAGTCTCGTTGTCCACTTGATTGTTAATAGTTTTAACTTAGACCTATGTAATTTAGGAAGGTGATTATCTAACATGTGAACCCAATAAATACATTAAATTTGCTCAATTAGCTTCAAAGATAAATCAGAGTAGCTTTAAGAAGCTGCTTAAGCGGATTAAAAGTGTTTTCTGGACTGGAATGATGATGGAATCACTGACAAAGTGTTACAATTTACAATCTATCAGTTTATGAGCTAAATAAATTTTAGTTTTACAAATCAGTTTGATCACGCAGGATGTAGCGGATCGTCTAGCCAAGGAGCTCCTGTTTGACATTGAGGTCGCCGTTGGTGGCCACACTAAGAGGATGATATCACATCCCAATTTCAGACCTGTGGATCTTTTCGTCTGTTCTATAGGGGCTGCACGGAAACTTACAGCTGCCGGTAAGGTGTTAGGTCTCAAATACCAAAAGCTTTTTTTGTTAGTGCGTAGGCCTAGTTGAAGGACTCAAGTAAGGGAAAGGTGTAAAAATACCAAACCGTAGCGGTATGTGGATACATTACGCATCAAACCTGCCAATGTTTGAATCCTGAGATTTTACATGTTTTGAATTATTGACTAAAGTAATAGGCCTATTTTATAAAAAATAACCATTTGTCTAACCCCTCCCTCCTCTCAAAAGATCTATGTTTGCTGTCTATAGACCCTATATACTAGGATGAGTTGATTGATGAATCCATTGCCTATGTCTATTCTCATGTGTCATAAATCTTACCAGTATTTTATTTTGATAGGGCTCAGTCATACTTGATAGTTATATTTTGCTGTGTTTTTTACAAAAATCCTATCTTAAAATTAAAATATCCCTAGAGAGAACAATTAATTTATAATATACGTAAGAGAAAGTTTCACTGTTTATATGTTCCAGGTATATTCAACATGTCCTATGTGCGCCATGTGGTACTTGATGAAGCCGATACCTGCCTAGATGACAGTTTTAATGAAAGTCTTGTCAATTATCTAAAGTATTTTCCTGTAAGTTGAGTGAATCTCTGAATAAATACCGAGTTCTTAAAAAAAACATACGCAACTTCACTCCCACATTTTAACTAGGCTATTAAATGACACCCTATAAGAAACCCAATTAAATGGTCAGAGAAGCAAAAGCGGGGGTCAAATTAAAGAAACAAGATCAAAATATTTGAGACACTGATCAAATGACTTTTGGTCTGTGTAACCAACTATATTTTTCTTATGCCATTCTCTCTGTTAACTGATGAAAAAAAAGGTATACACAATGTTTACTTTAAAAATAACTCTCAGTCTTAACCTAACCTAGAAAATTAGCCAGATTATAAGTTAACAGTTGTTTCCAAGCAATCCAATTGATCTGTAACAATTGAGTAAATTTACAGTAGACAGCCTCCTATCAACATGACAAGCATTGTGGACTATTGCCGTGATAAGTTAAAGTAATTTGAAAACCGTTTCATTTTTTGGTTGCAAAACAAAAAGCTGAGCAAAAAATAACCCGAAAACAGTATATAGTCCTACTTTAAATTTTCTACTAAGTAGATCGATAGAATTGTTTGTTTAAGTTAAAATTGGTTGTAGTCCTTCAGATATTTGTCAGTTTGCTATGTATTACAAATTGTTCCGTTTGTTAACTAGATTTCCTTCGGAAAACACCCAGGAGATGAAGTGAATAGATTACCTCAGTTCAGTAAGCTGACCTTAGCCAGTGCTACAATGCCCACCAGCATAGCCCCGATATTGGGCAAGATAATACAAGTGAGTTGTACCATTGGTTATATACACACATAAATGTAAGGCATAATCCATCGTTCTTTATTCAAAGTAAGTAGTGACTCAACTCATGTAACCAATGAGTACCTGCCGATTTTGCTTGTTGCTAATATTTGAGTACCTTTCTCCTTGAGTATTGAGTTGATTTCAACTTTAAATCTGTAGGAAAGCAAAGTCATACCTCTTAACTAGTGATTTGTCTATTCTCGATACCACCGATACTTGGACATTAGTATCGGTATCGAGAATTGGTGTCAAAAGATGATGTTGATACCCGACACCAAAGAAAACATACTACTATAATCCAGAATGCCAACCGCAGTCAGAATAGCAACGCTGGTGGCGCTGCCTACGAATTGACAGGCAAAACTCTCCCAAAGTACTTAAAGCTTTTTACCATGGGGTTGGCATTATGGGTTATAGGCTAGTAGTATGTTTTCTGTGCCGACACCTACAAAAAGATCGTGCTGTCGCAAATCTGGGTTTAGTTAGAATTTGTAATTGCCGCATTGATTTTCTTTAGGCTACTTGAACTATCACCCCAAAGTTACTCGATGGAAGGACATAAAGATGATTGGTGTAGTATAACCAATCCATATAGGAAATTCGGTAAAATTAAAAGAGAATGGTATCAGTAACGTGAATAGATTTTTCATGTAACGGTATTGGTTTTGTGAAATGATAAATTTTGTTATGAAAACATTACTACTCATAATGTTGTTTTAAATTTTAAGGTAACTATGCGGTCTACATAATCTCAATTCTTTTTAGAACAACAACTGAAAAGACGATTTGGGGACTTCAAGGTTCCAAATAAACAAATTTGCATAACTTTAAGTTATCTTTTATTACCTTGTGAATCTTTCAAACCTTCTAATTTTTGGTTGCTTAAGTGTTTTTTTTTTTTTTTAATTTTTTGACCTCCAATCTTCAAATATCTCGTAGCCTACAGTTCTATCGGTAATTAATAACTTTCAAATATATGGCTGTTGGTGGGTCTCGAAGTCACGGAAGTCTAAGTTGACTGTAACATATAAATAAATTTTTACTGACCATATTATGTTCTAACTAGTTAAAACATAATAGTAGCTGTTACCATAAACTATTTGTTCAAAGTGCCAATTAATTATCAAATCATTTCAACATAATAACTACATAATACTCCATTCTTTTATAAAGCAAATAAATATCTTAATACCGGTAGCCAACATTATTTTCCAATTTTTTTTGTGCAAAAATTCAATTGAAAATATATCATTTTTCATTTCAATATTTTCATGTTCTGACTCTCCATAGCCTAGGTTATTTGGTGTCAAACCCTCTTTCCATCAGGCCTCTTTTATTTTTTTAAATTGTTAGCAATATTATAGTATCCCCAATTTTAGATTTAGGCCCAATTTTATTTAAAAATATGAATGAAAAACTATTACTTACGTGAATGAAATACTTTGTATCGGAAGTCATCTATGTATTGCTCATTGTAAAATACAACCTTGTCGATACTAGCTTCAGGGGAACCTCTCTCTTGAAGCCATTTTTTCCTGAAAATGTTTTTACTTGTTATTTGTTCAAGAATCAAGAAATTGCTTGAATCAGTTGACTTTCTTGGATTCTTATAATGTTTAGTTTGTGACTACAATTTAGAATAAATTGAAGCTATTAAGAGGTCTATCATTTAGATTTGATGATTTTCTTAGATTAGTTCGCTTGTTTGGATGTAAGATTTTTAACTCAACATCCTAAAATGAAAACGCTTTTTCAAAGGAATTGTAACAAATTAACTTTTTAACATTACAACACACTCGTTTGAATATATACTGTACCAAACCTTGGCTAGAAAAAACCTTAAGGCTCAAACTTCTTCTTATAAGCTTGGTAAGAGTTGAACAATCAAATATCAGGCTCGCTGGCTAGAAACAATCACACCATCTATTGTATCTTACATGTAAGGTACGTAGTTAGCTGGTCCTTCAACATAGCCTCTCACGGTGTGGTTCTTTGTGTAGACCACGTAGCCTCGGAGACTGTACTCTTCTGCTACTCTTTGGGTGTACTGTAAAGGACTAGTAGTTCACATGATACACACAACTCGCAAAACAAGGTTTCAAGCACTTGAAAAGAACACTTTTAATGATTATTAACATTAAACATTTCACTACCTCTTCAATGGGATTAAGGGTGAAGTTTGCGACTAGTATACTAAACTACTAGCCTGCTCTAAAGATCTTCTCTTGGAGGGATTGAACATCATGTTAAATGTTATGAATTTTTTATGTGTTTAACACAGTTTTGGATGGATCTTAAATTAAACAAATTCAAACATTGAACTAGTATAAATTTGTTGGGATCTTTTTGCTTTTATTCAATCCAGATTTCTATACAAGCTGTTTATTTTCAACAATTTTTGTTGAGGAACTTTGGATTTACAGTAGACTCCCTCTTACCCGGCACCTTATAACCGAACATTGGTTTACTAGGACTACACATTGGCAGGAAGTGGGCGGCACAGAAACAATTTTTCTCGTAGGAATGATTTGAGGCCAGTGATATAGTTTCTAAATACAATGCTCTCCTAAATTTAAGTAAAATATTTGGGTTAGTTTTCAAGTGATTGATGTATTATAGGTTCATAATTCAACAAATTTCAAGGGTGTCAGTTTAACCTGCAAACCCATTATTGGGACTGGTCTCGGTTCCTAGGAGTCCGGATAAGAGGGAGTATACTGCATTAACATCGTTCTATGAAACTCATACAATGATCCATGATCTGATGATTCATTAAATCTATATGACACAAGGCTTAGGTGCTGGGTTAACACTGATATACTATTTTGCTCCTAATTCAAATCAAATCCTCATATTAGGAGATCTTCAACTGTGGTAAGAACCTAACATATCAAACACACTCCCCAGCCCACACAGAGTTTAATTTAGGAACATGAAAGTAAGAATACATTTGTTTTGAATAATTTACTTTTCTAAATAGGTCAAAAGTGAAATCCAAAACTAAAATAAAGACAACAAAACTTACAATTCATCCCAGTCTAAACATTTCTTAAAATTTACTTGCCTCTTTGAAATTCACATCTGAAATCAAGAAATTTCATCAGATACTAACCAATGTGATCAATAAAATTAATTATGGTGTTGTGCTTTCAAAACAATAAGGCAATATAAAAAAAACTTTATATTCTAAATAGCTGTACTATATTGAATCAAATTGGCAAAGCAAGCAAACTTATTTAGTTTGCTTACATCTCTACTTCTGTAATTAAACTCTTATTGTAACGGCAAGAGATTAGTTTTGTAAATCCTTCTTACTTTGAACATGGCCAAATACTTCAAAATGGAAACAAGCGATTCTGTAAGGCTTTGGTCCGGGCCATCTCCAACTAGAAACTCCTTGTAACAAAATACAAACAAAGCCAACCACTGACACTACAGTACATGAATGTAACACTGGGTTTGACATTGTTGCATTCACAAAACTGTACAACAAACGACATCTGATAAAGAGACACTAATTGTCAGTTACTACATCACTGTGTCAAATGTTGAAGTTAAAGTTATATTTGTCAATAGGGGAAGTTCATTGTTTGCTTGGTTGGTTTGCACCGTTTTTACTTTGCCAAAAATAAATTAATAAGCTTGTAACTAACTTGTAATATAGTTCAAACTGGTATTTGCTTCATGGAGTACTTAATTAACTTCTTACATTAAACTACAGAGTTTTTAAATATTTTAAATTTAAAATTAATCCATTCTAAGTTTTATTGGTTACAAACACACAACGGTTCTTTATTAAATCATATATTAAGGTATTCGTATTCCATTTAGATATCTCTAATGATAAACTAATGAAAATCTCTTTTTCCTACAGTCACCCGACAAAGTTGGCTTCCTTGTACTGTTTATAGTACAGAAAGCTGCTAATTGCTGCATATTTATACTTTGCCGTACGGTTTATACTATGCCGCACATCAGGATTCCAACGAAACAACACAAAACAGCGTGGTTCTATTATGCACGTAATCCGTGTAAGCTTGGAAATAGGTTGGCAACACTTAAAGATCTATGAGCAGCTGATTGACTATTATAACTACGATTTAACCTGTCATTTCGTGTTTATAGTTTCGGTATTTCTGAACTTTCTGGACTTTTCTTTTAAACGTTTTTAAAACGTTCCTACGATCTTAATAAACAAGAAAATACCTTTAAAGCATTTTTTTAGGCGCGGAAACCACTTCAAATTACAAAAACATACGAAACTATATTCTCAAAACGCGGAGCACATTTCTTGCCGAGGAAAAATAGCGGAGTGATACGGACCGCGGGTACTACTTTCTCTAGGGCACCATTTGTGTTGCCAGCTGAACCTAAAAACGTGTTGTATAGTGTTTGAAAGACTAATTATTTATATGCTTTATAGTGACTGTAGGAAAAATATAATGTGTAACACAAGTGAAAAAGGCCTTTGCTGCACTCGAGATCAACAAACATTGCTCTCGTGTGCAGCAAAGTGCCACTTTCACCACTAGTTACACAAATAACTATATAGGGTGGATTGCATATTTATTTATGCCTTTTAGTTATCTTTTGATATTTCAGCTAAACCGCTGCCATTTTAGTAAAAAAAAAAAAACGTTTTAAAATATTGCTTTAATGCTTATGTTCTGATATTATGACAAATTGTAAATGGGTATGTTATTTTAGTGATATCTGTAAAATCTACCCTATGAAAAATAAGAAAAACACCTTTTAAAAATTAGTGGGCTTAAACATAGCAGGGTATGAAAGGCATGATAAAACTGGCTTCAGATTCTATATTAGGATAAGAAGAATACTTTTGGTATATTCAATAAATGAACTCATTTTAAGAGTTGTAATCGTACATAATAAAAGGGCGACGTTGGATATTAACAAGAACAGAGTTTAGACCCACTCCTTACATATAACTGATATAACGTAAAAAATGTCAATAATGTAGGTAAACCCAAAATAAAAATGAATATGAGTGATCATGTAATTGTTTTTACGGATAGTAAATAAAAGATACGTCTAATAACACTTGAAACATATATTTACGCTTATACTGTAAACTCACAAGAAGGTAAATATACATAAAAGATGGTAAGTGTTGATCAATTATTTCGATTGGACACTCCAATCATCAGACCCAATATGCGAATTTTGTTGGTTAATATATTTTTTAAGTGATACTAGACGAATCTTTTGTTTACTTTCCGTCAATTTACTAACACGTACAATGCTAATCAAGAAGTTATTTAATTGTTTTTAGTCCATACTTGGTGTCTATTCTCACCATTCTGAAGTACAATTATCTTTGTTTAGCCAGAGTCGCTGGTCACTGTTGAGTCCCCCAGACTGCACCAAGTGTTGGTCCATGTCCCTCAGATCTTCCACAGACTGGGACAGTCACAGAAACCTCCAAAACTGTTGGAGCTCGCTAAGAAAAACGCTAAACAAGGGAGACCAACAATCATTTTTAGGTTAGTTTCTTATTTTAACCTTTAAGACGTTTTAACTAGATTTTGTTTTAATTGAATAAAGATTTTTGTTTTTTTAATTTTTAAGGATTTTTGTCTTGTGATAAGCTTGTAAATTGTGAAAAAAAGAAAATGTAAATAAAGCTCAACGTATAATAGATATTCTTTGCCAAATCAGCATTATCAATTATCAATTATCAATTATTTAAGATGGGGACGCCACTATGTGGGTATTTTAACCCAAATATGAGTGAAGGATGAGTGTAGAATGAGTGGCGCGATCTTGTAGTCCTGTTAGTGACTAAGGCCGACATATTCCTTAGACACAGCTGTTAATTAATAGCCCATACAGCTAATGGCAACTAAGGGACCTACAGTTTATAGTGGAATCCGAACCACATTTTTCCTTGTAATTAACGAATTGGTCTAATTATCAGGATAGTACTGCGGATAGTCGTAGTACTCACTAGTGCGGACGTTAATTCACACCAGGAAGCATCGCATCCACAGTGCATGCCTATAAATATCCACAATAAGTGATCTCCTAGTAGCTGGATTACAGATTATATCCTGTTAAACATTTACTTTGTTTATCCAGTACACATAAAATATTTAGATGCATAAGCCTAAGGATTTTTTAGTAAAAATACAAGGTTGTAAAAATAAAGATAAGGTAAAATACAATACTTACATGCAATGATTAGAAATACCTCTCACCTAGGCTACTGCTGGGCATGAGAGATTTCTTCAGGAAACATTTGAAAATAAGAACAAACGGAGAAATTGGTAATAATTTAGTATGAAAAATGATTTTCTTATTTGGATGATTGGTTCAACTGAAACCCAAGCAAATCGAGGCAGGACTCAGGAAAAACCAGAAGGCAAAATTATACCATTTTGCATTGTTGAACATTTACCATTTTATCTTCACTATACACAGTTAAACATTTGAAAATCTGTTTTTCTTATTAATTATCTTGTTCCGCTGAATATTAACCGTTCTGTCATCATTATGTACACAGTTGAACAGATACTTTAGACATTAAATAGCACCAAGACCATTTACCACCATATAAAAGTGCAGGTGGCGTGAAGTACTAATAAACTTTGTTGTTAAACAGTAACCGCTCTAAAGTGTCTGACTGGGTGTCCATGTTCCTCAATGAGAATGGAATCAGCTGTGTGAATCTTAATGGAGACATGCCTGTAGACATTCGAGCTGGCCGCTTCGACCAGTTCCAACGAGGATTTGTCGACTTCCTGTCATGCACAGATATGGTTTCTCGTGGGCTGGACACCATCAGGGTAGGTTGCTGTGTTTCAAATTTTAGATCTCATCATCAAACCAGAAACAGCTCCCTAGCGATTTTAGGGAGGAAGATGATTCTAAAGACGACAGGCAGTGACGGTAAACGCTCTTTATATAACCACAGTTTATGACAGTTTGTGGAATATCTGCCATGAAATGTCTTGTTTATTAGCCATTCCCGGTTAGTGGCAGCACAAAAAAATATGTTTTCGTTCATATAGCCATGGTTTGGTTTATCCTAAGGGACATGTACACATACAACATTGTTGACACTCCGGCATGGTTCAAGTGGGTTGACTGCACTCTGATGGTTTGCTGCATTTAACACATTTGTCAACTCCACATACCCACCAAATATACTGCAACCCCTCATGTCTCAGTATCAGTGAAAACAAATCCATGATTGAGTGAAAATGTATCTCTTTGAAATTGATAATGGCTTCAACGGGAAACTTAGTAGTTTCAGGTTCAATAGAAAATAAACTTAAATCCTTGAATAAGTTTAACGACAGAGAAACCACTAGTTTAATAATTTTTACAATGGTTCCAATATTGTTTTTTACTTTTACGTTTTCCGACCATGCCAAGACTATACTGTGTAGTTTATAAAGTGTGACTTTGCAGGCAAAACATGTGCTCAACTATGACTTCCCAGTGTACATGGCAGACTACATTCACCGCTGTGGCAGAGTGGGTAGAGTGGGACACATTGACAACTGTATGATTACCAACTTTGTAGCTAGCGACTCTGAGATTGAACTTGTCCGAAAAATTGAGGTAATACGATTGGTAATAACTTTTATCAATATTTGAGGATTGTTAAGTTATAAAAACTTATTTTGAGTGCCTAACTGGCCAGGAAACCTGGGAATTGTATGTGAATTTTGATCAACAGGAAACTCAGAACAATTCCTGATAGACTATGGTCTAGTGTCCGTTCATTAATAGGGTTTTATGTTCTCCTAACTTTGATGTGGTAAGATACTGCAATCACGGTGTTGTCGTATTTGCAGATGACAATAACGGATGCTGCCACTATTCAGGGTCTGACTTAGGGGAGGTACAAATGAGGCATTTAGTTCAAAATTCCTCCGTGAACAGCGCTGTAGTAAAGAGCACTTTGGCAATGAAGGTTTACTAATCGCAAAAATAGTTTTGTTCATAAAATAAAATTATAAATGCCTAAAATTCAATTTTATTAATTTTTAATTATAAAATTAAACTATCATAACCTAACCGAACTAACCAAACTTGCTGATAAAGAAATAATATAACAAAAGTTTATAGTAATCGGAAAAATAATTCTGTTTATAAAATAAAACTAGAAATTGCTCAATTAAAATTTTATAATGACTTAAAAATAAAATTAAACTGTAATAACCAAACCAAACCAACCAAACTTGCTGAAAATAAAAAAAATCTTGGACAAAAAGTTAATGCCACCGGCGGGATTCGAACCGGGGACCTACAGTTGAACAGCCCGGCACGCTAACCATTAGACCACCGAAGCCGATGGCTATCGATCGTTTTGTTACGGTAATGGCGTTCCCTCAGCTAATAAGAAGCCCTCAGCTGTCATCGTAGCCTCTTCTATACCTCCCCTGAGTAAATACCCACTATTCAGGTGATAAGATTTTGTGAAAATTGTGGAAATTCTATTTTGCTGTGGGAAACTAGAAAGACATTTTCTGAACTGGTGCAAGATTTATGTGGTCCTAATGTTGTGGAATACTTTAAGAGTCCTTGGAGCCTAAACGTTCTAACACCAAAAACATCAAACAACTACAAACAAAATTTCTAATCCCTCAGTGCACTAGATATTTACACTACCATCACTTTGGTTTGTTTGAAAAATATTTTTTGTTTGCGATAGTAATTATAATTAACTCTTCAGCAGCTGTTTGAAATTATCCAAGATCTAGCCTCCAAGGACTCTTATGGCTTATTCACCTGTGGCTTTAGATTGGTCAGTTATTTCTGTATCAGGATTCAGGAAGAGAGGGTCTTGTTGAAATCGTCCTATTGGGTTGGGAACTTATAGTAGTGCTTGAAGTAAGGAACGTTGGTCTCAGATTTGAACTAGGTTGCTTGGCGGCGATGGGAGCTCAATGTAGACTTTAATTTACAAACAACCCTCATATAAAACAAAATAAAATTGTTAAGGCAATATAAAACTGTTACAATTGTATCCTTGTTAACTTCTATTTACTGTTAATTATGTTCCAGACTGCAGTGAGAACCATGAAAGTTCTGCCCAATGTGAATGCAAACATTACAAGGGTAATTCACCATAAAATAATGAAGAACACACTACCAAAGTAATATGTCACGGAGTTTTTTGTAAGTGACTGTAAATACATTTAGCCTTATAAATGATTGTTTATTTCAATATTGCTACTTCACTTTAATGCCCCTATCTAATCGAAATCAGACTTCAGTGTATTTTACATGATTGTAGTATTTTTTTTACTATAGGCCTAAATTCATATATTTACTATAGGCAATGAGCAAAAAAATAGAAAAGAAAATTATAACATTTGAAAACAAGGTTCTCAGGAAAATATATGGCCCGACGCTCGAAGATGGAATATGGAGAATGAGACACAACATCGAGATTAGAGAGCGCTATAAAGACCCTGACATCATAGCGGAAGTCAAGAGCAGAAGATTGAGATGGTTTGGTCATATTTCGAGAAGAGAGGAAGACTCCACTACGAGAAATGTACTTCATAGAAACCCCGAAGGCAGGAGACCACGAGGCCGTCCCAAACTTAGGTGGAAGGATCAAGTGCATAAAGATGTAAGAAGACTGGGAAGGAGTGAAAATGACACCAAAGACAGAGACATCTGGAGGCAGTGTGTGGGCGAGGCCAAGTACCTCTTAGGGTACCAGTGGCCACTCCAGTAAGTAAGTAAGTAAGTATAGGCCTAAATTCAAACTTCAAACTTTGTTGTGAAATTTCAATTGCAAATCTCAGTACAAGGTTTTCTTTATGTATACATTCACATTTTTTTATTATAATCATTACCTATCACGTTTTTAAACACTGTAAGTAAGATATTGGAAAACAGAGTTTCTTCTTTTTTTTGAATCTTACAATACTCAATTGATAAACTCTTCTAAATATAGTAAGTAGGGATGGACGAGATTGGATTTTTAGTTCGAGACGAGACGAGACGAGATTTTTTATTTCTCATAAAATTTCGAGACGAGATCGAGACGGGATTTCCCTTCTTATACACAACGGGAAATGCACGTTCAAAATTTTTACCTGATTTTGTAACATTGTAAGATGACTGTTTAAATACAAAAATAATGATAATAGGCAAGAATATTTACAATATTTTATTGAAAAACATCAGCATAACATTTTTTTATTAATCACGCCTAACTTATTAAAAATGCCTACGATTAGGAAACATAGTGATATCAGTTAGGATAGAGTTCAACTTATCCTAAAATAAAATATAGTTTCAATATAGCGGCCTTTTATAACCTTTAATGCCAAATTTCATCAAAACCGTAAATTTTAAGAAAATTGTTTTTCGAATCAAAAAGATAAAGAATTTAAATCCAAATCAAATGAGACCTTGTTTGTTAAAATCAGATGACAAACAACTGAGTTATCAGTTTTTTCTAAATTCGGTTCCGCAATTTAAGGGGACTTCCATATTGTTTATTTGTTATTATTTGCAACTTTGATATGAAATTTGAAATAGCGTATAGTTTATATGGTGCAACAAATGTTACTAAAGAAAATATTAAGGGCCTCCAAGAACGCATTCACGTACCTCACAATGGTGCATATAGAGAGAGCAGAATGCAAAACAATATTTGTAATTTTCTTGCGGCTCCCTAACAGTAGTTTTTTTTTGTTTGTATTTATGTTAAAATTCAAACAAATTATGTGGGTGGGTGTTGTGGTTAAAAAAATCAAAATATATGTTTTCCCCATTTTCCCCTTAAAACAAAACATTTGGCAATTTCTATCCAAACTATTTTGTAGAGCTTAAAAAAAATAAATGAAATATATAGAAGCGTTGTTGTAAGTCTATCAATTACAAAAAAATTTTAAAAACTTTAAATTTAAAATTCCCAAGTTGGTTTTATGGAGAATTTTAGCAAACCTAAGTACTCATAAAAATTAATGTTTAAAAAAACATTTACCTGACTATTTAGGGGAATATTTTTGTGAAAATCCAACAAGGTAAATGAAAATTTGCTTAGTCGACAGGTTTGCTGCGGGGGGGGGGGGGTTATTTTAATTTATAGTTTTTTTCCTGAGTTGAATCTTTTGATTCTGCCACACAGTTTGATGCAAATACACAAGAGATTTTAATCTAAAAAAATCAATGAGTACGATTGAGATTAGCCTGTATTAGTATGGTAAGTGTGTGTAACGGTTTTTTACAGCTAACTTTGAGGCCCACATTATTCTCTTAAGTATTCTAATCCCGATGCCAAGCACGGGCGGAACAACTAGTAATGTTTAAAAGTATAGGTTAGCTATGTTAACGATAAAGATAAATAACATAGTAAAAAATACAAACATATGTCTGCTTGCAAAGAAATTGGGTCAAATCAGAGATGTGGTTATTTGAAAAGAAATGAAACTAGGCCTACAGACCCATCAAATCCTTCTTTATTTACATTTAATATGAGTACATCACATATATGTACCTAAATAATCATAAAAACTAATAAGAACAGGCATGACGACAAAATAGACAGCTCTTTTATCTTACAAAAACTGTTCCAAATAACACGCATATACAAAATGATTCCTTACTAGCCTTTTCATATCACTGTCAAATTTAAAAAGGCCTAAGTTGTTGATCAATAACTTAAAACTCTTCTCTTTTATTGATTTATTTTCATACTTAATCATGATTATGATTAAATTAAATTAGGAAAAATTCCTAATGTTTTGAAAATAATTAACAATGTTTGGTGTTGAAAGATGTATAACAGCAATTAAAGTCCCAAATTCTGTAAACAATTTGTTTTCAGCCTCTGGATCTTAAACAATATAGAGTACTGTCAGGTGATCCTGGCTTTCAATGAAACCAATTGTTTCAAACCTAAGGCCTCGTTTAAAAATAAAAATACCCGAATCTCAGATGAATGCAAGGTTAATCATCCCCCTCATTACTGAGGGCGAGTCCTCATATAAATTATACACACACAAGCCAAAAGACACCAACTTTTAACATAGCTTTTTGTGTGTGACTGTGAATGTAGTAAATGATGACTCTTCAAAACCCCAGTGATAAAGAGTTACCCCAGTCAGCCTGGTATTATACTTGAAAATTCACCAGTAGGTTTTAACTAAACCAAAACCATATAATATCACCAAAATCAGCATCACCTGGCTTACTCTTCAACAAATTCTTGCTAGTTTTCAGGTAACTAAAAATAAACATACTAAATCTAAAGTTTATTCTATCCTTTGCAAAATCTTGCATAAATTTTGTTTGGCAATGAATTTTCAAGGAAATATTTACAAATTACGTGTGAAATCTCCGAACAATTAGCAAACCTTCCTAAGTGTTAACTTCAACTTTATTCCAGTCTTTGGCACAAGAACTGTGTTTGGAACTACGATCAGTTCTTGCCTGGAGTGAAGTGATTGAACTTGATACTTGCGCAGAATTGCTGACAAAACGGTTTTCTCTGCCAGCACTGCAAACTTTTGTCCTGTAAGAGTAAAGTTGTAATTAACTGTTTTAGCCCTGAAACTTAAAAATATTGACTAATATGGATGTAAAATACCTTATCAGAAGCAGAGAATTTTAAATTTTGTTACTTTGACATATTGGTTTTTCTGTGGTAGGCCTTAAATTTAAAAAGTGAATTTTACATTGTTTTTTTTTTTTTTTTTTGTCTGTTTCTTCGCTTTACAAGATTATTCTTATTTTTAATGATCTTTTGAAACTCCTTAGCACCAAAACAATTTTGAAAATCGTGACCGGCCTGATGAATCAGAAATGAAAATGTTGTTTTTTTGTAAATGGGTTTGAATGAAAGCATATTAAATGGGTTTTTATCCATGGCGTGTTGAAATATCATTTTCATTACGTTGAGCCATTGACACAATGCTGGATATTTGAACTCAAACATGAGTGAAGGATGAGTGTGCAATTAAGTGTGATGCCTTGTGTAGCTATGTTATTGATATTGACTAAGTCAGCCTGTTTCCTTAGCCATGTCCATTAAAAGCCCAATGATCACGGACAGCTGGGTCCAGTTTTGAATCATCAAAAATTACTGATTTTTCTCGGAATCAAACCGATGTCCTACTAATTACTGGACACACACTATAACCACTACCCTATACTATCCTATGTATGTGTGAGTTGTAATTTTAAATTTATCAATTATCAATCATTGAACTAAAAACAATCAGAACTAAAAAGTATATTTCAGGACAAATTGTGTTAAAATAGTTAAGGTTCAAACACTGATGTATTTTTAATATAATTTTTTGACACTATTTAAATGTACCTATGTGCATGAAATAAATAAAGAACTTTTGATTTGATTTGATTGAGATGGAGACGTCACCTAGGTGCAAATTTTAACCCAAATATGAGTGCATCAAGGAAGCTGTTTTTGTAGATTTTATGATTTCGCTCATCAACTTCTCTTAATTCTCTTAACGTCTACTTACTCTAATATTTTGGTATTTTGCAATTTGTATTTATTTTCATTGATTTTGACTATATTTATAATTAAGGCTTTCAATATTTTTTTAAATCCAACTATAATTTTGTCAGATTTATTTTCTTTTATTTGGGAAACAAAATGTTTAGCTTCAGATCTTTTTCAACGTAGTTAGTTTATTGTATTAATTTTAAAATGGCAAAATAATAATACTATTTGAAAAATAATTTTTTTCTTAATATCTGTTTACTTGCTTTGTTAAAAATATTTGGATCAGAAGTTCATTAACTGATCAAATATTTGGGTAAGAAAATAAGGACACTTTTAATTTAAAACATTTTTTGTTGTACCGGTACTGTAAATTTTAGTAAACTTACCAATGCAGTTCCGTGGCCCAGCACTAAAGGGGATGTAAGAGTAAGGATGCCTTGTTTTGACAGCCTCAGGCAGGAAATTGTCTGGATTGAAGCATTCCGGGTTCGGAAACTGCGAAGAGTCTCGATGCAGAACGTACGGCAGTACTAGTACATCAGAGCCCTTCGGAAGTGTGTATTTTCCTACAAAATACATTATACCATTAACTTTGAATACTGCAAGTAACTTGTCGTGAAACTACACTGTGATACAGGGTAGAACCATGTCATTATCACAACGGCTCATGTCATATAAGAAATGGATGTCATAAGACATAACAAGACATGTTTATTTCCAGTAGACATATTACAAATGTATTGGAAGAGTCAAACATTTTTCATGCAGAGCAGTTGTCAAATTGAGAAAGGGTTACAAAGTGTACTTTAAAGTCTATGAAGAAAAAAAATGCATTTTAAGCTAAGTGTCCTAGAGCTGTAAGATATATAGCTAAGATTCATATATATATATATATAAGATTCAGGTACTGCTCCAAATTGCATAACTCCCAAAGTCACTGCTCAGAAATATATGTTCAAAGTAGTGCCTTTTCGAAACGTGCCTGGATGTGCACATTGCAGTAGCAGTCTGTTTGAAGCTATGCCATTCAGAGCAATTCCGCACATCAAACGTGGGGATGGAATGTCTATTTCTCTGTAGTTAAATCGCTACCTAAAGTGCCGTCTCTTGTAGAGTGAGCTGGTCTAGAGGTAGAGTTTGGGGCTTAGGTGCCCGCAGTCCTAGTTTCATGTCCCACCAATCACTAATGGATTTTGTGTATGTGATAATGCCACGACCCTCTAGGACTAGCCTGAAGTAGTGTGTAAAACTTTTCCAGGCTGGAACCTAGCGTCCTAAAATGTGATGGTGGGACGTTAAAAAAAGTGTTGTCCAAACCATTAAACAGATTCATAGAGAATGAGTCCGCTGAATAGAATCCCTGAAGAAATTTGAACATCCATAACCTTAAATTTACAATAAAAGAATGCATACTTTTCGATCAAAATATTTAGTTTAAAGAAAATATAGTCACCAAATACTTCATCCTCAGTCAGTTTCCTGGCTATGACTGGAACACTGGGAAACAGCCTTAGAGCGTCTTTGATGCAGTTCTCCAGGTACTTCATACTCTTCAGGTCTTCCATCGTAGGTTGTCTGTCGGAGTCTCCGAAGATATTGAGAAGCTCCTCATGCGCCTTGTCCTACAAATGGACAACCTCAATCACAACAAGTCTGTTAATTAGTATTACTGATCTATATATGATACTAGCTGTAACTCGCGGGCTTTGCCCCGTTTAACTTCTTAATTTTCAAGATGATCTCGTTCGCATGGCTCAATCACGTCCTGGTTGAAGTTTGTTCGCTACGCTCACTCACCTTTAGGTTGGAGCTCGTTCGCTACGCTCACTCACCTTTAGGTTGGAGCTCATTTGCTGCGCTCACTTGCCTTCAGGTTAGCTTGTTCGCTACGCTCACTTGCCTTCAGGTTAGCTCGTTCACTACGCTAACTCGCCTCCAGGTTGAAGTTCGTTCGCTATGCTCACTCACCTTTTGGTTGCAAATTAGCTGTTGTCATAAATGTAAAAGAAATAATAGTGCTGCACCCTGTTGGTAATCCTTGTAACTTTAATGCTATTGAACATCATAGAACAGAACCAACTTGTTTAATTGAAACAGCTGTTAAGATACATTAATTCCATTTCTCATAAGGTTAACATGGGAAACTCCAGAGCCACTGGGGCTGAGCCGATTGGACGGATCACGAAATTGATGGTGTATAAACCTATTCCATGAAATTCTACACGTATGTACCAAGTTTCGTGGCAATCGGTTCAGCGGTGTCTGAGTTTATCACTGTATATATACAGTGTGTAAATTAAGTCTGGCACACATTTTTTATCTTTTTTCTATAGTAGATAGAAGAAATCAATTTGCGGGACTGATTAATAACAAATGTTAGGCACATTTTACAAATTTTGAAGATAAAAACTCCCTTAAGGGCAAGGGGGGGTAGGGGGTAACTAAAAATTTTCAAATGACAACCCCCATCTTGTGACCCCTCATTTTAAAGGTCATTGGAAGAAAAATCCAAAGATGTGTCTGAAATTTTTTTTTGCACCCTATCCAAGATGGCGATTTAAAATGTACTTAGGGTTGAACGGGTAAATTAGGTATGGCACACATTTCTTATCTTTTTTACTCTTTGTAGATTAGAAAGAATTAATTTGCGGGACTGAGTAAGAACAAATGTTTGGCAATTTTTTGTATAATTTTGAAAAAATTCCCCTTAAGGGTAAGGTGGGGGTGGGGGGTAACCAACAATTTTCAAATGACAACCCCCATCTTGTGACCCCTCATTTTAAAGGTATTTGGAAGACAAATTTAACGATGTGTCTGAAAAAATTTTAATGTGTTTCAGACTTAATTCACCCGTTCAACCCTAAGTACATTTTAAGTCGCCATATTAGACAGGATGCAAAAAAAAATTTCAGACACATCGTTAAATTTGTCTTCCAAATACCTTTAAAATGAGGGGTCACAAGATGGGTGTTGTCATTTGAAAATTTTTAGTTACCCCCCACCCCCACCTTACCCTTAAGGGGATTTTTTTTTAAATTATGAAAAAGTGCCAAACATTTGTTCTTACTCAATCCCGCAAATTAATTCCTTCTATCTACAAAGAGTAAAAAAGATAAGAAATGTGCGCCATATCTAATTTACCCGTTCAACCCTAAGTACATTTTAAACCGCCATCTTGGATAGGGTGCAAAAAAAAATTTTTCAGACACATCTTTGGATTTGTCTTTCAATAACCTTTAAAATGAGGGGTCACAAGATGGGGGTTGTCATTTGAAAATTTTTAGTTACCCCCTACCCCACCTTGCCCTTAAGGGAATTTTTATTTTCAAAATTTGTAAAAAGTGCCTAACATTTGTTATTAATCAGTCCCGCAAATTTATTTCTTCTATCTACTATAGAAAAAAATATAAAAAATGTGTGCCAGACTTAATTTACACACTGTACAAACATCCTCTTTTATACTTATAGATAAGTTAGTTAGGCAAAGGAACAAGTTAGTTTTTTGTTTGATTCCTATGTTTAACTGCAACCTACCTGAATTTCTGGATTCTCTCCCAACAGGTATAAACAGTAGTTTATTGCCAGCTGTGTTGTATTTTGACCCTGAAAACAAAATTTTCTTTATCTTTGAAGAGTAAATGTGATAAAAATCGTCATAAATAAATAATCCTATAAAACTTTTGTTCATATAGTTATAGTACCTATAGGTGCACTTGACGTGGTTTTGAATGTTGTATTGTCATATTTTTTAGTGTTAGATTTTGATTTTAGCTATAAGCAACATTTTTGTTGTTGTCTAAGACGCTAGGCACAAGCCTGGGATAGTTTTTCACATTACCTTACTTCAGGCTAGACCTAGGGGTTACTTAGATGTAATCCATTGGTGATTTGGTTGGATTTGAACCCGGGACCTCAGGTTTATGAATTAGAGCAATTTGGTCCTGCGCTCTAACCACTAGACGAGCTCGCTCCTAGTGATAAGCCGACAATTAATTAATTGATCAAATTATATTTTTAGATGGTGATTTTTCCAGATTGTTAGATTGTTATCAGTTAGCCCTTGATCCAGCATAGCCTATATGCAGTAGCAAGTTATTGATATTTAGACAACATACAGCAAACATAAACGTGTTGACTTCTTCTCGAATGTCCTGGTCAGATAAGAGTTTTCCTCCTTCAGAACTTGCTATCAACAAATCCATGAAGATGGCCCGCTTTCTGGTATCTGCACAAAGTATTGAGTATGATTGAAGTTTATGGTTTAATCGCTCCTAAAATATTCCTTGCTTCTTGGAATGTCATAGGATATTTTACCTCTTCTGAAAGTTTTTGTTTAATTCATTGTTTTCCAGTGTCTCTCAATCTAAATAAACAATACCATCCAATTTTTACTTTCTCTCCCTTTACATAGTGCATGGACAAAGTATTGTTTTTGTGTATTGGGTGATATTATTTTCAAAGTGAATGACTGTGTGTGTGTGTGTCTTTATGTGTTCAGAGATACAGATTACACCTGTGGTGCGATTGTGATGAAATTTGGTATGGTGCTATATTCATCTAACTAACCTGAATTAATTATGTCTTCACTATACTGCTGTTTTGCAAGTGCTTGTCTTCTCATTTGTATTACCTGAAATTAATTTACCTGTAAATACAAGATTAGCTATTCATATTTTCATTTACTAAGCTACTATTCCTGATTCTTTAAAATCCCAAATCTAATTAAATATGAGGGAATTTGACTTAGAACTAAATACGTTCTAAGTCAAATTCCCTACAGAACATATACAATATACATACATTATACATTACAGAGCTCGTTTATAAATCAGGTCATGTAACTTCATAGAACATAACAAGACATTTAGACAGAGGGCACCATTTAGTTAACACTTCTGAGTCCAAGATGAACTCTTTTTTCATCAAAATGTTTTCCTTTACCTGATAAAGGTACCGTACATACTATTTTATCTTATAGCAAAGTCAGACAAATTGCACTAAGAACTGTCACTTTTCCCTCCTACCCAGAAGCCTACAACTTCCTCTTGAGTCTTTTAACATGTTTTTTAGGATCATTCGTTAAAACAGAATAATGTAACATAACTCATGAAAACAGATAAATTGTAATTCCTTGTGCTGCAAGATGTATTGTAAAGCCGCGTCCACTCAAAGCTAGTTAGCGGACAGGTTACTTGGTTAAGGTAACTTGAGATACACCAGAGAGGGCCTGCTCTCCCTAGTGGAAGACATCAATAGAAATCAATAGAAAAAATCTATTGATATCACTAGATGCTTAGTGATATCAATAGATGTTTATGGATATCATTACAAGTAAATACAAACAAATAGACATCACTGAAAACTTAGTCAATACATATCACTAGACATCTATAAACATAAAATATATCAATATAGATCATTAGAGCAAACAAATCGTTCATTGATATCAATAGAGAATATTTTTTAAATATGTTAGATGTAAATATAAATCAATAGACATCAATACGGATAAATAAAATGCAAAATATTTCTAAAATGTATCACATATGAACATTATGGATTACGGTATACAAAATACCAATGTAAACTTTGTGAAATAAACAGTAATAAAAATGTTATTTTTTAAAAAAAGGAAAAACTCTAGTTCTAGGTCATAGGTGTTAGCTGAGGTACCTAAAACTCAATATAGGTAATTTAAAAATATATAATTTTAAAATTGTTGTAAAACAGTTACGGTACAACTTTTATTAAAACATATTTTTTAAACTGCCAAAAACTGATTGCTAAAACATTAAAATTGTTGTAAAACAGTTTACAACTTGTATTAAAACTGATTTTCTTAAACTTCAAAAAAGTGGTTGTAAAACAATTTTAAAATTGTTGTAAAACAGTTACAGCTCGTATTGAAACTTATTCTTTTCAACTCCAAAAAACTTATTGTTAAACAATTTTAAAATTGTTTAAATCTTATATCAAAATTGTTGTAATATGAATTTTAAATCAAAATGTTTGAAAATTGTTATACAACAATTATTGTAATACAGCTTTCGACAACTTTAAACAATATTTTGCTTATTGAGTTATCGTTAGGGATAAAAATCCCTCACAAATTCATTATTGAATTCCTTATTTCTAGAAATCAATAAAAAATAAATTGTATTGGCACTATTCATATCACCCAAGTAGCAAGAAAACAGTTTGAACTGGTAATAAAACAGTTTTGAAACATGTTAAAGGTACATGTTGAAACATATAGGTACATGCTTGAAATGACACAAATGCCATTGAAAATCTTTTTCAAGTTAAATTATGAGGCCTAACACAGCTTCTCGCATTCAAAATGGCTATCATTACTCAGGCAGACATGAAGCGTCCGTGGTGTAATGGCCAAGGCAACAGGCTTCCATGCTGGAGTCCCGGGTTCAAATCTCGGGAATCCACTAAACTTTTTGTCAAGATTTTTTTTACTTTTTAATTTTTATTTTATTTTTAGTGCATAGTTGATATTATTTAATGTTTTGAAACAAATTAAAAATGGTTTTTTAACAAGATACAAATTATTTTCAAATAAGCTAATGACTCGGATCCTATTTACTTGTATTGATATGTATTGATGTGTATTGATGTGTATTGGCCCAAATACACATACGTATCAATACGTATCAATATACAATTTTTGTATTGATATATATTGATCTCTTCCACTAGGGCTACTGGCTTCGTGTAAACGCCAGCCTTGAACTTACTTGGTCGGTAAACTGATGGAGAATTTTCTTGTACTTTTCTTCCTCTTTTCCTTTGACAGTGAAACGGAATATAAAGTCAGATAGTAACCAAGGCCGAACCATTCTGTAAATACCAATTTCTTCGAGCCTAAAAAATACAAAGATTTAATTATACTAAGTGCACCTGTTGCTTGAATTTGAGCAATTTCAAATTATTACAGGCGTTATTTAAAAACGAATAACAGTCATAATTTCCGATGACTTAAAAGAGGCAACTCAAAGATAATGTAATCAATCACTCCACTAAAGTTATCGAAACTGAAAATGAACTCACTCTGAAAACGTATGCTGTCATGTGTTTACCATGAACAGCTGTAATTAATACAAATTATTCGTCTGTTTAAGTAAACAAAATTTTTTCTTCATAAGAAATACTTGGGATTTTGATGGCCTGTGGGGCAAAGCCTGAGGACTCTTATTTAACAGGAATTGGTGAAAGGGGGCGTCTAGACAAAAAAACTTAATTTTGACACATCGTTTGTAAAAGTCTGTCCATTATTAACGGAGGAGTAGTGTTTCGTAGAAATCGCCTTCATGTATTATAAGGATTACTTACTTTATTTGCTTTTTAACTTTTTAGAAATGTACATAAATCACCATTTACATTAAGCAATATAAGTACAAATATTGTTTTTCTTTTTTAGCATTAAAAAATATTTTTAAATACAGTATACTAAACCTATTTTGCTCGACTGAAAGATTCAAACATAGTACAGGCATATATAACATTAACAAAAGTTAATGAAAAACCACATGTAAGAATGTTTGAACTAATAATACATGGAGAAGAACGAGGTTTGAATAAGAATATATTTATTGTCATTAAATACAACAGAACACTAGACAACATCAGAACAATCTTACCTTTGATAAGGTCAATGTCAATATCGGTCTGTAGCGCCAAGCAATACAATTAAGTACCGGTAGGTTGTCATTCTAAAATGTTATAAACTTTGAGCCAGTAAATTCATAAGCTTACCTATGCATGGCGTTGACTATTTCCGTGTGCTCGTAAGTGTTTGTGTCTGCCGGAGTCCCCATTGCAGTCTCTAAAAAATGTTCAGTTAAATTATCCTTGATTAGTAGCCTACTTTGATTAGAATACCCAATTTCTCCTTGAGGTTTTTTTACTTGTGTTTCTATGCCAATATGATTAGGATAATTGGTGATTCAAGTTTTAGATAGTTGCAAGTTGTACTATTTAATCATTTTAACAAGTTGTAAATCATTTTCCTTTTTTTATTTCAAAAAAGTCAAAATTGTTACAAAATCAATGGAATGACAGGAATTATTGTCTTTTGAACCCATTGTTCTATAAATTGCTTGGAACTCCTTTCTTAGGGTAAAAACACGGTGGAGCAGGGCAGGTAGCTGGTAGCCTGGTGGGTCGCTTAATCGCTTACTGGGATGTAGAATTAAAGCACGCGTTGTTATGGGTACGCACACAGTCGCGCCTAGCTGGTAGCCGAGAGGGTAGCAGTAAGCTAGGCGGCAAGCTAGAAGAATTGCCAAGTCGATTGTTTGGGAGCTTCAAGCGGGGAAGGCTCGACTGGGGCATGCGCAAATAGCAGAACTTGACAGCCACTTGTTCTCGAGTTCTCAAGTTCCACGCGGGATCTTTCACTGCGCATTCTTTGTATACGGAGTGTTGTTTGTTTTAGTTGATTTATCTGGAAGTTGTTTTGTTTACATGGAATAAAATAATGGACGTAGACAAATTCATATCAGAGGTTTTTATCCATGTGCCTTTGTGGAAACAAGCCCATCCGAACCACCACAAACGTCACGTACTTAACGATCTGTAGAATGAAATAGCGAATGAACTAGGATTCAAACCAAAGTTTATCCTATACCACTAATATTATAAGTGATAATATTAGTATCGGCGGCTGACAAGCGACTGTACTGAGCGCCACTGTGTGTATGTCCCAGCTACCCTCCAGGTAACCAGCAGTTAAGCGAGTAAGCGACCAGCCAGGCTACCAGCTACCTGCCCTGCTCCACTGTGTTTTTACCCTTAGCTGAGATTTATCCATTATTTCTTCATTAATATATTCCTAAGCCAAGTGCTTTTTCCCATAGAAAATTTATGTTTTTGATGAATTATATTTGAGGCATTGCACTCCTATTTAAAATTAAAGGGATTCACTTTCATGTAAATTTAAAAACACATCAACTCACCATCATCAAAGTTGTAGCCTTAATTTTGAAGAAATTAATATAAGTATTAAAATATCCTTCTTATTGTCTATAGAGTATAGTCTGTTTGTCTGTATGTCTGTCTGTCTGTCTGTCTGTCTGTTACATATATCTTGAAAACCAGCGGAAGGATTTTGTTTAAATTTTGAAATTAGGGACTTACAGCCCTAAAAACGTGATTGGCCTCCCTGAGGAAAATTTGTATTTCACTAAACAACTAATTGGAAAATGTAAAAATTTAACATTGGCCTTATGGGTTGCTAAGTATAACTATCATGGTTGAATAAAATAACAAGTAAATAAAAACCCCGCCGCAGCAAACCTGCAGACTAAGCGAATTTCCATTGGAACCTGATTAAAAGGATTTACACTAAAATGCCTCCATAAAAAATATCACATTTATTTCCTATTTAAATTAAATAGAATTATTTTAACGAGTACTTAGGTTTGCTGCATCAGGGAGGGTAAAAAAGTGTTTTTTTTGTAAAATGTTAATAGTTTAGTAAGAAATGAAAGTATTTTCCAAATTCAATCAAAATATGTTCATAAACAAGCAAACTACAGCAGTTGACTTATTGTCCATAAGAATAACATGGGAATTTTAAATTTACAATATTTTAGAATTTTCTCCGTAACCATTAGGCGCACAACAACGCTTCAATAAACTAAATTATTTGTTTTTTTAAGCTCTACAAAATGGTTTGGAAAGAAATGGTAAAATTTTGTGTTTTAAGGGTCAAAAATGGGAAAAACCAATTTTTACCCCATAAAACCCCATATAAAACCCCGTTCCCATAGTCCGATCATGCTGGTTCGCGAACTCGTTCAAATAAATGTAGGTTTACACGTTTACACCAAATTTCATCAAATTCGGATCATTTTTGCTCGAGTTATCGCGCTAAGGGACACATATATATATAAATATATATATATATATATTAATAAGCAAATCAAAATACCACAGTACCCTAAAAACATTTTATTTTATATTACTTACATGTTTCGGACATTAATGCCATGATCACAGTATAGTATATAACCTATTAGTTTCTTTTATTTACAAACATTATTAGATATTTCTTATTAAAGAACAGGTGATAATTTTTATGTTAAGGGAAGGAGGTGTTTTCTTTAAGATGTATAATTTCATTGAATATTACATTTTGATTTTGAATTTGTGTCAAGTTTAGTAAATTGTCTTTGTCATTAATATGATGAGTATAAATATAAAAGTCTTCTTTTGTATTCATTTTTTCACCTTTATTTTCAACATCCAGAATGTGCATATTTTTATTCATTTCTGAGTATGTATGGTCGGTCTGAAGTATATGTTCGGCGTATGAGGATTTTTGTGTTGTCATATTGTTTGATCTGATTGCCTGTATATGCTCTTTGTACCTGACTTCGAATGTTCGACCTGTTTGACCAATATAGTATTTTTCACAGTTGTTACATGATAATTTGTAAATTCCTGATTTCTTATATAAATTTGGTGGGTTGGGTCTCGGATTTGTTCTTTTTTGAATGATGTTAAAAGCGTTATTCCTTGTTTTATAACTTAGTTTAAATTTTGAGTTCGGTAATGTCTAATAATGTTTGTAAATAAAAGAAACTAATAGGTTATATACTATACTGTGATCATGGCATTAATGTCCGAAACATGTAAGTAATATAAAATAAAATGTTTTTAGGGTACTGTGGTATTTTGATTTGCTTATTAACATTTAAAGTAGCCCTCATTGATGTATACAATAACAAAATATATATATATATATATATATATATATATATATATATATATATATATATATGAATTTGAACAGATGGTGTTTTTGGCCTCTAGGGACCTTAAAACGAAAAAGTAAATCGGTCCCGGGTCCAGGTCTTACCATGAGTACTACGGTAATAGCTTATTCCCTATATGGGAAATTCGATAAAAGTAAACTAGACACTTGTAGCATGTGTTTATAAAAATCTATCCACAGTCTACTAGCTAATTACACTATTAATACTGTACAAAGGGAAAAAACATCAGTTGTATCTATTGAGCAAAGAATACACCAAAGATTTGATTGTTTGTGGATGTTCTAACTATGTATTTACAAATTAGGGGAAGAATATGGTTGTAATTTTACAAAAAGATGATTTTGGAGCTAAGAAATTTATTGGTGGACCAGTAGGCTTATCGCAGGGAACTGTGAAAGTTACTGAAAAAACTAATTTAATTTTTTTAACTAAGTCTTAGCACTACACTTATGAGGACTTAATTGGCAGAAATAGATTTGATATTATCAATATAACAATATGCCAAGTAAATTAACTACATCTGGGGGTTTTACGTTTTAGTTGGCATAAAACTATTATGCTATGCTAAATCCTAATGAAAAAAAGACAGAATCTTAATGTCTTTAAGTGGTATCACAAAAGCTAACATCGTTGTGACAAGCATTTTAAACTAATATGATTTTGTTTATACTGTATTATACTCTTATCTACTGTCATTGGTGAGTGTAAAAGTCCAACAACGGGTTTCAATGACTAAAGGAGAGAACACTTAAACTTAGTCAAGATCATAAAAGTGTATCTTTTTTTGATTAAAATCGCATACTTTTACAGAGTTGTTTCTTACTTCAAAGATCAAATGTGGTTTATAATATTTTTTTTTTTTTTGTAGATTTTAAAATGTGTTTGTTTATGATATTGTTTTAACGATTAAACCCAATTATAACCAATAAAATTCACCGAGCAAGCCTCGGTCCCCCGGTACTTAATATAATGCACATATCACTTACCACAAATGAAGTCCAATGTTAGTTTTCTGGTGTATGGGCTGATGTCTATAAATTTTTCTTCATTTTCCTTTACGGAATTGTTTAGCTCCATCATGAAGTCTTGGGTGCGAGCGACAAAAACATCAACAAAACTTTCCAAAATATTGAAGTGAAAAGTAGGGGTGATCAACTTTCTATGACTGTGCCATCTTTCACCTAAAAAATCCACAGATTATCTTTTTTGTTATCTTATTGTGAATTCTAAACTCATTAATCGTCTTAAAAATTATTGTAGCAGGACCAGGACTTAAACATTTAAAGAGAAGGGTTGAAAAATGTCACAGACACTAAGAACTGTTAACAATGAATTAACATTTGTAAGCTAAATATCCGGTTAGTTTTTGCCCATTTTATTTTTCTTGGTGGACTGCTAAGTTTTCGTAAAACAGGAATTTGGATTAGCAACATAGACTTATTTTTGTTAAGGTATAGATCTTTTGTTTTATTTATGACTTTTTTCAATTAGCAGAGGTGCATCAAACAAAATCTTTTACAGCTTTGATTATCTTTGGTGGTTGTTTGAAGAAGCTGTACATACATATATTTTCAACTGCTGTATGTGGTAGTTTAAAAGTTAAAAAATAAATAAATAAATAAATAAAATATACTATAAATAAAGAGGTTCCATCATTAATACCCTCAAGCTTAAACAAACATTGATATAATATTTCATAGTCTTCAGCTGACCTACAAAGGACTGTGTTAAGATCTAAGATGGAAACCAAAATCATACCTTTACTTGTTATTAGACCCTCTCCTAGAAGTGGCTTCAGTCCATGGTAGATGAGACCCTTTTCATTGTGTTTATGTTTACGACTCAAAACTGCCTGAAAACTAAATTGTTTTAAACTCTTGAATGGGTACTTAACAGCAACAGGTTTGATATAGGTGTTGGTATCCTTCATTTACTGTGTACTCCATTGACAGGAGTCACTGAAACTAATTGAACTTGTCAAGGCCACAGAAAATTGAAGAAAGAATTACAAAGCTGTATTTGCTTTTTTTAATGATTTAATTAGGCGATACAAAATTACATTTTACCATGCATTAATGAATCCTCACATTTTACATCATAGATGTCAACTAATGGTTTTTGAAATTTAAGGATTTTTTCATATTATATGAAATGCAATTACAGGAAAAGGTCACTGAACAGTCACAAAGTGTGTTATTGATGTGAACTATGCGACACTTAAGTATACAGTATTAATGATCTGAAGACTTTGTTACAGAAAATTTAATTTCTTTGTTCAATTGTGGAGTTAAATTATCAAACCACATAAAATTCTATGTCAAAATTGAATTTCCCAGTTCAACACTGACCTGTACTGCATCTGGCAACTGAACAATGATCATGGGATGGAACAATATGAATGTCTTATGGAAGGCTGGGAATTCATCTCGCCACTTGGCAGCATACTGGAAGAATCCTGGGATCAATAGTATACTTTTTAACAAGAACACAATATAACAGGATTAATTCCTAATTCCTACATGTTCAGCCAATGTTAACAATAGCCACAGAGATGTAAGGACTGAGAAAACCTGCTTGATTTTGGGACCGCACGCTTCAGCTCTAGAGTGTTTTGCCGGAAATATACTTGTGATAAGCGAGGAATAGCCTGAGCGATGAGTACTGCAGAAATTCTTAACGCACAGGCCTACATGAGAGCGAAGGGCGGTGTTAGACTTTGCCCAAGACACCAGGACAAGTGCTAGACACCCCTTAAGTGTACCATTGAGTGTTTATGTACCTTACTTCTCTGTGCCATAGCTAACTTCCCATTTTGTGAATGGATTACAAACTGTCAAAGAGTAATATATTTCGTTAATATTAAATCAATAAATTTCAGTTAAAGCTGCTTCAAACAATCCAAACAAATGGAATAACTACTTTAAATTTTCTTCTTTTCTTTGTTTGTAATTTACTTTAGATTGCCAGTTCATTTAGAAAAGTTCAAAATTATTGGACCAGCGTCGATCATTGACCATTGTGCCTACCCAGACAGCACACTTTCTCCTCAGGACATCCCACGGATATTGCGACAGGATATATCCCATAGTGGTCCTATGGTCAACTTGGGATATCACAGGATATCCACAGGAATGCCTAATGTCCCCGCCCGGGGATGTCCTACGGATAAGCTCACACGCATATCCGTGGGACATCCGAGGTCATCCCAGGGTAGTCCTCAGGACATTCTCAGGACATATGGGACTACTATGGGATGTCCCTGGGATAAAGTGTGGTCTGGGCCTGAACATAAAAAACACAAAATAATATAGATTTAGTATGAAAAGCTTAATTATAAGTTTAGTAAATTGATTAAATAGTTAATAAACCGAAATTTGAAGAAAAAAACGAGAAAAAAGTTTTTGGCCCAGACGGGTTTCGAACCTGGTACCTTCGCCTTGTGAGCCTCTTACCTTACCTCCTGAGCTATCTGCGCTTGTTGATGATGGGTGTTTTCAAGTGGTTAAAGAGTAGCCGACAGTTGCAATGGTCGCAATACTTAAAATATTTTTGATACTACAGTATAGGCTATATATGATTCTGTTAATCTGTTTAGGCCTCAAGTAGTTGAATTGTTTTTCTGGTAGTTGGAGAGGATACTGGTATTTGAATATAGATTATTTAATCACCATTAGATTAGCACTGTAATAATTGATTGTTATATGATTAAAATTAGTTTTTTGTTGTTTTATTAATTTAAAGTTAGAATTAAATTCACATTTCACACAACTATGATAGAACTCTAGTTTTCCTGAACTCAGTGGTAGTAATATGTCAGTAAAGTAAAGTCAACCCTTGCTAGCCATAGTATTAACAAGACATATTTTCAATCTGGGAAACCTTAAACTTTTAAAATAAATTATAAAACCTCAACATCTTAATGCGTGGGAATCTTATTTTTAGAAAAAAAAACAGACCAAAATTATTTGTTAAATAATGAAGACAGCCCAATTATAAATTCGGAATTACTGAAAATAATTACATCAAGAACAACACTGTAACATATCCAAAATTCAAAAGATTAATTTTTCTAATATTTTTTTTTATTTTTCCAATATCCTTTAAATCATCTGTTTTAACTTTGTTTAAAATTAATTTATTAAGTAAATATTTACTTTTTGTACTAGTGTAAACACAGCCTGAAGATGGAAACCAAGTTTCTGAAAGCACTAGTGAAAAAAAACAAATTATTATACCTATTGGCCTTGTTCTTGTTGAACATTTAAATTTAGATATACTGTACATTTCATCAGTAATAGTATTTTTTTTCTTCAGTTTGTTACCGGGACATTACAGGATATCCAGTGGATTTTGTACATGTCCCGGGATGTCATGGGACATTCTGGGATATCCTATGGCATTCGTACATATCCCGGGACTTTACAGGATATCCTGAGGTTAACTTACAAATCCCGGGACATTACGGTATATTGTAGGATATCCTGTGGATTTCGTACTCGTCCCGGGATTTTGCGGGATATCCTGAGGATAGCGCACATATCCCCAGACATTCTCAGGACATATGGGACTACTATGGGATGTCCCTGGGATAAAGTGTGCTGTCTGGGATATTTCGTTAATATTAAATCAATAAATTTCAGTTAAAGCTGCTTCAAACAATCCAAACAAATGGAATAACTACTTTAAATTTTCTTCTTTTCTTTGTTTGTAATTTACTTTAGATTGCCAGTTCATTTAGAAAAGTTCAAAATTATTGGACCAGCGTCGATCATTGACCATTGTGCCTAAATGGCTGCTGATCTTAGTCAGTAATAAGGTTATAATTTCACTTATTCATTCATCCTTCACTAATTTCTGCCTTAAATTATGAACTCAGTTGTGTTTTTACTGTAGTAAGAATCTAGACTAACCAATGCAACTAAACTATTTATGATTATTTTATGACCGAGATACTTTTTTTATTAATTACTAAACTGTGAGTGAAAAAAGGGACAGACTTATTGGCCTTACCCAACTGTCCTAGGATTGTAATAAATGGTTTTGTTCAAACAGCTGATCTTAGTCAGCAACCCAACAATGTTATAATTCCATTCATTCAAACCCATTTCAAAATATAAACTCTGATGTGTCATCTAACTGTAATCTAATCATGCAACCATGCTGTTTATGTTCAGTAGGCTGAGATATTTTCTATTCCCTATCATACTAACTGTGGCGGGAGAGGTATTCCTTGGCGTTGCCGTACAGTGGATGACTCCTCGGCCCTGGTAACTGTTGGACTCTCAAGAACACCCTGATCCACCCTTGCAGTGCTGCTGCCACCCAGCACAGACAGAACAGGAAGCCACTCCAGAGCAGGGTTACCAACCTACCCCTGGCTGTCTCGTCCTGCAAGTGGACAACTGGTGTTAGCGTAATCCTAAGTCATACCCCAAAATTTTTTTTAAATGTCCAAGCTAGGCTAGAGCCATTTTGAAAGAAGAGAATACATCTTTTGGAGAATTTTGTTTAAGAGAAACCCAATGCGCAAAAGTATTTTGGGAATCAAACCCGGCGTTTCCAAAGTCCATGACGCTAAACACTATGCTATTCGGCTATAGTTCGACCGCTTAGAAAACGACCTGCGCGCCAATGCTAGAGAAGGTCGCTTTCTAAGCGGCCGAACTATAGCAACACATCCTGGGTAGATAAAAAGACCTGACCTGTCCTTGATTATTGGGGGTTTCAATAAATCATCCTGGGTTAAGAACCAGCTGACCTTAGTCAGCAACAAAGATGTCATCTCATTCATTCATCGTCCTGTTTCCTCACTTAGGAATGTTGATGTTGGAAAAATCTTGAAAATGAGTTTTTCAAATATCATAGTCAATACACAAACACTGTGACGGTACTCTCACATGGGCGTGTTGAGCCTGCAGGTCACTAGATGGGCATGCTGAGCCCCAGGTACCGCTGGACAGGCGTATTGGTGTTGAGCCCGCGGGTTACCTGATGGGCAAGCTGAGCCCCGGGTACCGCTGGACGGGCGTGTTGAGCCCCCGGTACCTTATTCTAAAAAGCTTATTGGTCTAAGAAAACAAAGTCCAACACTATGTCTGTCCCGTTAAATCCTTGATGGATTACATATCAGCCTCGTATAATTCGTATAGCACAACGTTTGTACCCAGTTTTATTTTGACCAATTTTACAATCTGATATTTTGAAAGCTATTAGAGTTACGTCTGATACCACTACGGTTCTGACAATATCCCAATTACTCGAATAAGATCTCAGCCCCTAACTACTTCAATTCGATAGGACATTTAGTATTCATACAGCTCTCTCCAAGGCACTCAAAAGAGCAGTACACTCTCAAATATACGATTTCCTCTTTCAAAACAGTATGTTTGAAACGCATTTCAGACAGGTTTCCGGCAATCTTATAGCACTGAAAGTGATCTTTTTAACATAACTGATGACACGTTTTGCTATGGATCTAGCCTTGCAATGTACAATATTATCATATTATTTTGATTTTAGTAGGTCTTCCAATACAGTTCACTTCAGCCTTTTAGCGAATTTCCCTATAGCTATTACCGTAGGTGGCACGGTAAGACCTAGGCCCGGGACCGAATTACTTTTTCATCTTGATGTCCCCAGAGGCCAAAATGGAAAATGAGCGAGGTTTGAAAATACACTTTTTGCCCGTCTGATGAACTTTACTATATCGATTGATTTATTACGTTACGTTTTAGCTTATTGTTGTATTCTACAGTCAATGATTCTTGTCAACATATCGATGGCATAATGTACAGTAACACAATCGTAATAGACAAAATTATTTATTTATTGAACACCAACGGCAAACACCATTTTACATTAAGTAGCTACAAATAGGAAAATATTATAACAATTTAATAATTAACAGAGGAGTAGAAAACAACATTTAAAACTAATTATTACATGGCAAAACAATGGATATTGATGTTACAGAAAAATATAACAATGTATAAAAAATATAACAATAACAAAATATAACAATGAATATATCAATAACAAGAATACAAACAAAATAGATCACAAAATTAACATGAGAAAAATCAACAACAAAGGAACAACAACAACAATGCTTTTACCGGGTACCCTCAAGGATGCTGTCAGCCGCAGAACGCCGAACCACTCCCAAGAGGCAGTTATGGTCAACAGAGCTGCTTATCACATTCCCGAGGCGCATAATCCGGGGAATGGGGACTGGATCTGGCCTAGTTAGTCCCAGTATGGTCAAGTTCAAATACACGCTGATGTCTTGTGATTCTCGAAGGAAAATGGAAGTTTATCCTTTGTTTCCAGCAAGAAGGGGCAGTTGACTTGGTTTTTATCAGTTTGTAAAGAAAGGTCACATCAGCCACTCGCCTTCTGTTATCAAGACTCGGAATGTCATACATATTAGAGAGCTCGTCAACCCGGACGTCACGAAAGTCAAGTCCAGCACGACATCACAGGAACCTGATGAAGCGTCTTTGTACCGACTGAAGATGGTAAATATGGCCAAGATGGTAGAATTTAATTATCATACCAAAATAATTGTGGTGACCAAACCAAGGAAGCATACTCGAGTAGCTGCAGGATGAGAGACTTGTACAGGATAATACAGGCATGGTTGCTCAAACCATGTCTAGCAGAGCGGAATACCAATCCTAGCATACGAGAGGCCCTGGTGCATATTTGGTTTATGTGGGCTCCAAACTCGAAGGAGTAGTCAATTAGAACACCAAGATCCTTTATGGTATTGCATCTCTCAACCCGGTTACCATCAAGAGAGTAGTCAGCTAACACTGTATTTAATTTCCTACTGAACGTGATCAATTTGGTTTTTGTGGGATTCACAGCCATGTCATTGGAGAGGCACCAGCCAAATAGGTAGTCGAGGGCGTCCTGCAAGGACTGGCAGTCATGATGGGATGCAACTTCAACGAGTAGCTTAATGTCATCCGCAAATAGAAGAAATGGGACTTTGATGACCTTCTTAATGTCATTAATAAAGATGGAAAACAAGAACGGTCCAAGATGAGACCCCTGAGGAACACCAGAACTTGCAGCGAAGAAAGAAGAGACTTCAGAACCAAGGCGTACAGCAAGCCGTCTATTGGTAAGGTAGCTCTTAAACCATTGTAGAATCCTTCCAGCGAACCCATAGCCTTGGAGCTTTGCAAGCAGATGACTATGATTTATCTTGTCAAAAGCTTTAGGTACTATAGTCAATGTAAATGGTGTCAACTTGATTTCTTCGACCAAAGGCTTCCAACACCAGACACTGGAGAGATAAAAGATTCGTCACAGTGGAGCGACCGGAGGTAAAGCCATGCTGCTCATCAATTATGATATGTTTATATAAAGGCTGTACGATGTCTAAAATAAGCCCTTCAAAAACTTTACTGAGGACGGACTGGATTACTATGGGCCTGTAATTTGTAACATCGCAACGATCACCAGCTTTGAAGATTGGAACCACATAACCATATTTCAGTGTGGAGGGAAATGTGCCTGTAGACAAACTGAGGTTGAATAGGAAATGGAGCTGATGTACCAGCTCAGAGTGGCAGAATTTGAGTACTCTTGGTGTGATGTTGTCAGGTCCACTACCCTTGGTGGGGTCCAAGTGAAGAAGCTTCTTATTGATATCTTCTAGGGAGATAGCACATTCTGAGATGGTGAATGGAGTATCAAATGAAGGTACTGGCAGCTCATCAAGGGATGCATGAGAGTAGACGGACGAGAAATATTCAGCAAACAGCTCACACATCTCATGTGGGTGGGAAACCTCAGTTGGACCATGTTTAAGGAAGCAGGGCATGGAAGATTTTCGATTGAGATTCTTCGCAAAACTCCAGAAGACCTTGACATTAGTGGAAATGGTAGTATTAACAGGGTTGACGTAGCTCAAACGACAATCCCTGGATACAGCCCTGCATCGGTCCCGAATGACGCTAAAGTTGTGGTAGTCAATCATGTTGAGAGATATCTTATATTTCTTGTGAAGCACCTTCTTGAGAATAACAAGTTCCCTAAGCTCTTTGGAGAACCATTTTGGAAAGACGGAGGGACTGACAGACTTCCAAGGAGAGTGAGATTTGATGAGTTCGCTGAGTTGACTGCAAAAAGTGGAGAATTGAAGATTAACGTCGCTGCAATCATAGTTGAGCTGAATGGCTCCGTCCTGGAGGTCAATTTTAACCTTTTCAATGTCACGCTTCGAATGTTCCTGATGAAAGTAGGGTGCTTTGGGCGCTCGATCGATGGTTCAGGGATATCTGCAGAAACACACAAGCTAGGATGGCAGGGTCCTTGGGCAAGGAGGGGGTCATTAGCAAGTGACACGGTAAAGACGTTGGATGACCCAAAGATCAAGCCCAGCTGAACTCCCCTATCATTCACCACATCACTAATCTGATTGACACCAAGATGTGCAGCCAAATCCAAAATGATATTGAACGGTGGAGTAGCAGTTGGCAGTTCGGGGTGAAGCCAGGTAGATCAGTTGAAGTCACCAGCAATTAGTATGTGGTCATAGTTGTGGTAGACGGACAATACTTCCACTTCCACTAGTGACTCAGCAAAGTTTTTGATTAACGTGGTAGTTCCAATTAAGTTTTTTGTCCAGCCATACTCCAAGATATTTTATGGCCTGGTCATCAGGGTTCCAAGGTAGAAAGTTACCATTTATTTGAATTTCATGTGGCAATGTATGTTTTTTTAAGGAAAATATTTTGGTCTCACATTTAGTTGAATTTAGGCGAAATTTCCACTTGTGTAGAACCAATCAATGACGAGATCCACAGAGAATTGCAGGGAATACAGATACCATGTCACAGTGCAAGCAAGATAAATCATGATTTCTAGCCAGCCAGCACTCAGCAGACGAAAAACAAAAAATTGAAGTACTGATTCAGCTGTAATTGAATCACTTACCAAACAGCTGCTTATTTACATTACTGTAGCAGAATTGAAAATAAGCTTAATGTCGTTTTGAGAGGTTATCTTCATATATGATAATTTATTTTTGTAAAAAAATACAACCGACTTCAAATGCTCTAAAAAGAATGAAATAATTTCAATAAAGTAAACTTTTGTATTAGTCAAGCTCTCGTATTTTAAGTCGGTGCGGCTCTATGATGATTTTTGATACAAAATTTAAAGAGGATGTCCACATTGCAGGTGACTATCTATAAAGGTGATTATAATCTTATAGTGGTATTAACGAGTATCTTTAAAAAGATTATAATGTATTTACACATTTCTAACTTGGAAAAGTAACGTTTTAATTTTAAACTAGCTTCTTTTCCCTATCATAAAATCAAAATAAATTATTTTCCTATTCATATAGAACACTAGCTGGTGTACCCGTGCTTTGCAAGGGAAGAGGACACAAAATAGAAAATTTTAATCTTACATCTGTTGCATATAATAGTTACACATCCGCCAACGCTTTTGGAAACAAAATTCAACTTTTATTGCCTTAATAGAAATGTTTAAGTTATGACTTTTAAATCTGGTAAGTAGTGGATACCACCATTTTGGTTTTGATTAATTTTAAATATTATGTAGGCTGATATGAGAAAACTGACCAAATCTTTGAATAAAACTTTGAGATACATGATTTACCTTCATCTCCCTTACTTACATATCTTTTAATTTATTATTGTAATTTTAAATTTGAATTTTGAAGTTGCAATGATACTAATTATTAAATTTAAATGAACATTTTTTTAAATTTCACTCTTCTTTATATTAAATCACAAAACCTTCCATCTTCAGTTTGTTCACTCACAATAAATCATTAGCAGAACTAAGGGCCGCTTTCCCCAAATCAAGTTTTAACTCTGATCGCGGTTTAAACTCTAGTTTAACCTCAGATTCACTTTCCCCAAAATAATATCTCCGTTTAAACTAGGTTTAAGTTAACCCTAGGGGGGACCCTAGTGAAAAAAATTTTCTGGTCCAGGTTCTGGCCAGTACTGTCACAGAACTGACCAGTTCTGCCACAGTACTGACAAGTACTGGCCAGGTTCTGGGCGAGACTGGCCAGGTTCTGGGCGATACTGGCCAGGTTCTGGGCGATACTGGCCAGGTTCTGGAATGATACTGGCCAGGTTCTGGGCGATACTGGCCAGGTTCTGGGTGATACTGGCCAGGTTCTGGGCGATACTGGCCAGGTTCTGGAATGATACTGGACAGGTTCTGGAGGGTACTGGGCTGATACTGGCCAATACTGGGCTGATACTGGCCAGGTTCTGGCGAGTACTGGGCTGATATTGAAGTTTGTATCTTTATTTTAATGGGTCTGGTTTTACTTGATAGTTTTAGTGACTTATGCCCAGTTCATTTTTGTATTATTATGGCAATAAAACTATATTCTGATTCTGATACTGGCCAGGTTTTTGCTGGTACTGGATGATACTGGCAGTGTTCTTGGCTGATAATGGCCTCTGGTCCAGAATTCAGACACAATTATATGTGTTTGTTGTTTTTTTACAAGTTATTCACTTTGGTAAATTGGAGATTACTGATAACGATTAATTTATACATAATGAGCAAATCTGTACAGAGCTACAGACCACAAGTGTTGCCCGATTGTGATGAAATTCAGCAAGTAATAAGTACCAAACCATGGGTTTTCAAAGTTTTAACTTTTTTGAAATTTTGTTTTTTAATGGTGATTTTTCCATAAAAACCCATGAAATAATAGCAAAATCTTATTTAAAAAAATTGGCCAAAAATTTTTTATAAATAACAAGTATGTTAGAGCCCTTTAAATTCAGAAAAAAATTTTACAACGCCTATTACTGTAAAATTACAGTTTAAAAGCTACTGTAACTTATATGTTATTTTATATATAATAGAGGAAAACTGTGTTTTTTTAACCTATATTGATCAAAATTAGTATATTTTGGTCCTTATAATTTAAATTTAAATGGTGCAACCTCTCAGTGTTGTGAAAATTAGGGTTTATATTTTTTGCAACTTTTGTGATTTTTTCCTGTAAAATATTAAAGTTACTACAGTACTACCACATACCCATACATAGGACAAGTATGTGTCCTAATTATCTCTACAACCAAAATAAAAGATTGATTAAAATAACTACTGTATTGTTTTTAAAAATTGAGCAAGATTTAAATTTTAAAAGAATTTTCGCGCCAGACTGAGAGCTAATGACAGGGTCCAGTGCAGTCCGTGGCAGAGGAGGGGAGGGGACTGATTTTTCTGTTCCAACTCCAACTGTCAAAAGATCGGCGTCGCCATCTTTGCTTGGCTGTTGTGCCTAACCTCTTGACTTTGCAAAAGTATAACTTAGTCCTTTCAATTTAAAATTAAAATGTAATAGTGTATAATCGTATCCATATTATATTAGTAGCCTAAGATTTTTGTTGTTAGGTAGTTTACCTTCAGTTTTTTAGTTTTCTTTCACCAAAGAATATCGTTATTGAAGAGGCTGTCTCCCAAACCAAGGTAAGGAATTCAAAATAACATTAGGCCTACTTTAGTTAATAAGTTTCAATGTGAGTTACACATCAAAAATTAGGTTCGATAAAAATTCTGCAACATCTAGGCTAGTCTTTCTTTAAACTGATTAAAGTTAGGTTAAGTTATAAACCGGTAGTTAAGTTAAGTTACTTATAGAAAACGAACCTAAATGAGTTAGCCAGGCTTTGGCTTACAGTTAAATAAGTTTTTAGACTACCTAACAAATTTGCATTGGATTTAATCTTAGTACATTTGTTAGTAGGCCTATAGCCTTGATGGGGCTTTCTTTGAAAGTTTGGTTTTTACTTGAACGGAGTCCTAACGTTTTACTGCATGTCCTAATGCGATATCACTTTTTAACCTTACTTAGGTGAACCATTGGCCACAGTTTCAAATCTGCAACTTTTAACAACCTATATAGGAATATACCTAACATATGCCTACTACAATCATTTTCTTAAACCTATGCAGTCAGCCTTAGTCAAAGCCTAGATTAAAGCCTGGTTTACACGGGTAGAGTTGTGGGTAGAGTAGAGTTTCTAGTATAGTAACTCTACCCGTGTAAACACCCACTGGCGCCTAGTAGTAGTATAGTAGATAGTAGGTGGTAGAGTAGAGTTACTAGCAACATGTGGCATAGTAGCTCTACTCTACTTCCCCCACCACTAGCAAAATTGTCACTCTCCTGCACACTATACTTGTGTAAATGAGATCCGCGGCAGTAGAGTAGAGTTTCTGGTAGAGTGACACTGTCTTGTAACTGGTTTATAACACTCATTTTGGGAATGGAGGTGGAACAAACAGTTCACAAACTATCATCAACACTCTACTATGTGTGAACAGTCGCTTGCTTAAAATCGGTAGAGTGGACAAGAAAGTAGCTCTACTATAAACTCTACACTACCAACAACTCTACCCGTGTAAACCAGGCTTAAAAGTTAGGTTACAAGTTAAATATCTTAAATAGTCTACCGTAACTCAATTGTTAGGCCCTACACCTAAATAATTCTTACACCCTTAAAGGATAGTTGATTTCATAAAATAAATTCCTTAGGCATAAGTTAAAAATAGGCTACCGGTACTGCTAGGTAGGGTAGGATAAAAATAAAATCGAGCCAAGCGCAGTAAATTAAACTTAGGCTAGGGAGCATAAGCTAACCAAAAATAACTTCCAACAAACCGAAAATGTACTCCTATCTAACGTATTTGTTTGACCAATTCCTAGAATAACTTAATTTGTTATTTACTGTCACACTATGGATGAGGCCTTTTTTATGT